ATTAATATGGAGATTAACGAAAGCTTGTATAGATATGGACTCCCCGAAAGTACTCATTTTACAGCCAGCTGGTATTAAATAATGATCGTAATATGGTGACTATATTGTGAAGTAGGTTGGTTCAAACTAACATCGAATTTTTAACTAAATTACATATTCAGATGTAGCACTCTCTCTGTTATGTAATGTGCGGATTCATTTCTCCTAATCACCTACTAGCTAGCTTATACTTCATTTAATACAGTTCACATACAGTGCAATTGATGAATTTCATTAAAATAAATCTTCTCGCACTCTTCTTCGCACATAAGCAACACTTATCTTACTATAAATACTTTGGGTTTTACCTTAAATAAACCTTTTTCCTTAAACACTACGAGCATTATACAAGACAATTCTTAAACGTTTAGTTACATTCTTAATGAGCAACTAACAGTACCTCAAATAAATAAGTTCCAGTTAAAGACGAATCGGTACAATAGACCGGACGCAGAGTTACACGAATAGTTAGTTTCCTTTGAACTAGTAACAACAACCACCTCGCCACAATTGTTGTTGTAACAGAGCATTCGCCTTCACAGAAACTATTAAAGGTTTCTCAACTCTTTCTTACGTGTGCTTACACAACGCTTTGAAGAAGCTGTTTGAAACGAACCTGAGAATAGAACTGAATGTAAAGGACACAACAAATTGTGCACTAAATACGCTGACAATATTCAAGAATTTGATACAACTAATGGCCAGTATGTTTAAGCAGTATAGTCAAAGTTATCAACGTCTTAAGTAACCAAATGTATGTAACTCCAAAGTATTGCAGACCTTAGCAAATATTTTCTTTGCATATTAAAATTTTCACTATTAGGAGCCAATTCATCAATATTCTTGATTCCGATTTATTATTTTATGCGACTCTTTTCTGAGTTATATCCATCAACATTATTAAATTGGTTTTACCCACAAATGCCTACTTTAGGAAATTAGCTTTTCTTTATTTTCAGAAACATCATTTTAACGTCCAGTCATAAAGGGGTGCGGAAAGGTGTCATTTTATTAAGTAACCATTCGGCACCCCTCTGTTCTAAGCTATAATTTGAAAAGGTCACCCACCGTTATGATGTTCCATTGTATCGATGAATAGATTCATTTTATAATTGCTATTTGTCATGAAGCCTACAGTAGGTACCCTACATTTTAAAACGCGATCATAATATTTTGATATCCGTAAACCATCAATTGCCGAAACCAATGTAATTTCTATGAATCTGGCACAATTATTTAGCCTTGGCTGTGTTTATTGAATCTACAAACGAGAATACCATTTGGCAATTCTGGCAGATGTTAATGTTTACAATATATTTCAAATGTATGTCTCCACACTTGTATACATTACTTTTAATTTATGTTTTAGCTGGCATATTACCCAACATTAAATTATTTTAAAAAACCTAATTTATCTCAAATATGTCGTTCAGTTTCATATATTCAATATCGACGTTCGCTTTCTCACTGCCTGAATTGAATTTCATTATTCCACTTGACGAACGCTTAACAATAGTAGCGCAAAGTGGTCGAAATTGGCTCCAGCCTTTCTAACACGACAAATTATCACTTAAGTTCTACTATATTCATGGCAATGTGTAACTGCGATCAATATGAACTTAAAGACAATTTTTTTGTTACTCACTAACTACTTTACACAATAGGATAAAAACAATTCAGACATAATATATATTCAATTGAGAAAAGTGAAGGATTTCAGGCGATAGAGTATAAAATGCATCCAGGTGGTCACAAACTTAATAAAATAATGACATTTTCAACACTGAAAAACTAGTGTCCAGCAGTCAGTTTTGGACGAAGCAGACGGTGTAATGAAATAGTGTATTATTTGTCTAGCTTTTTCGTGATCGAAATTTTGAAAAATAGGATTTTAAATGCATGCATTTATCAGTACCAACGTACTGACGAATTGCATGCTAATTAAGTACAGTCAGTCAGTATTAATTGAACATACCAGACGAGGCGACGGTCGAGTTGAATGGAATTCCTCCACCGGACCGTAGAGCATCATCAAGCCGACAGTGTCCACTTTCCCTCTTTTCCTAGACGATCACGAAGAATTTAAGGAATGATAATTTCTCTCGTGACGTGTTTCATCTTATGCAATGGCTGTTTCATTGTAGGACAAGGCATCGAATTATTTTCTATTGTATATAGTTTAATTGGCAGTAATTGATTGTTTTGGTCAAAAATATGCTGCTATTACGAAAGCTACATTTTACATAATTGTAGTTTTTAAAATTTAATGATACTTTTATCTTTAGAATTTGACCATTCAATAACATTTAATGTTTGAATAAAATTGATTTTAAATCTTTTGAATGAGTATTTTATTTTATTTCTTTATTTAACGTTATGTTTTGAGAACCATTGAGTGTTTCATTACGTTTTCATTATAATCGTAATTAATATTTACTGAAAATAGTAATCATCGTTGATTTGTATTATACTTACATAAAAACCATCTTTATCTAGAAATATAGACGTACATAAATAACTATATTAAAACTTCTAATTAAAACAGAGGTCTACCAACACAATAATATTATTATTTCACTTGTTTGAAACTAGGGAGTTCTGACAGGCTTCATTTCCTGACTTACATTATGCATTTATTTATTTTAAACTTTATGCACATATTTAAACGGTCAATTGAAAGAAATGAGGGCATACATGTAATCAATCTTGAGGTTTTACTAGTTCGCTCGCTTGCTATGGTTTCTCGAGATCCGTGTTCATTCCAGGTCCTGCTGGCATGGTGTGTAGGTAATATCAACAAGTTGTGCTGTTATTTCTACGTCCCACATACAGTCGTGATCGTACCGCATTCCTATCTAACGCAATCGAGCAGAACGCTCGCGGAAGGTCGCCAGCTAAACTTCTGTTATTCGTTTGTCGTGGATATTGTTTAATCATACATTCATTACTTCTATTATCAAACTGACTAAAAAACTTAAATCTTCTTGAGGTTAACAAAATGGGGATCTGTTTGTTTTATCCAATCATAAGCTCAACTTATACGCTGAGCTTATTGTTTTAACCCTGAACTTATATAAATAAGCCACTATGGCAAGTACATACACATGACGGCATAGCATGAAATATATTTTTAAGCATTATTTCGACTGAAAACGTATTGGACTCGTCACGACGGTCACGGTCTCGTCCGTCGTCATGACGACGGAGGCTTATAATTACAATGTTTTGCAATTTTCTAATGCAAATAGCACGACCGTATTTCCTATGTCAAGTAAACTTTAGAGCCTTTATTGAGTAATCACTAGGCAAATATTTTTAAAATACTAATTTATTTTAAATCAACAAATAGTAGTACTAATAGTTACAGCCCTATCTCCTAATATTGTGAAATCAAATCTCATAGGAAATGGTCATACCCGTAACACATTGACTGCACGGATGGCGTGGTGGTTTAAGCGGTCACCTCGCCGCTTCCTACTGCGCTGAGTGTTGTGGGTCCGATCCCCACATGAGGCAAAACTTTGTGTCAATCACAAATTGTTGTTCTGAGTCTGGGTGTTCTTTGTATCCGTTCAATGTATGTTTGTAAAGTCCCCCGCGACACATGATTTATTCCTAGTGCGGGAGTTGTCTTTTAAAATTAAACAAAAAAAATGAACAATTTCAATTTTACAATCGTACTTCTCTGACAGTGTAGAAACACCTCCTATATTATACCAAACCTAATACAGTATTGATGCTCTAAATCGACCAGTAACATCCTACTTTATTACAGCAAGATGTGTAGACGATATAAAAATGTCAATCGTTACCCACGCGAACTATTAAAACCTATTCGCTGGTACAAGCTGTAGGTCGATCGATAATAACTAATGTTTGTATTGCCTGTATTCACAGCTTACCCATAGTATATAAAACATGTGTTTATCAGGTCATAGTAGTAAATTCTAAAGGCGAATGTAGAACTAGCTATCGTTAAAGAACGCCTACCAATGTTACATACATATAACGAACGTGTATTGGCCGTGCAGATTAACAATTTACACGCTCTGCATTCTAATTAAGATACGTGGGAATATTTTCAGTGAAACAGATTACTTTGTAAGTATAATATATTATAATCCTGCATTGGCATAAAAGATTGTGAGTGGAAATGGATCAGAATGTCTATCTATTTTTTACATCTAACAAGACTACCAACACAGGGTAAAATTAGTGTTTTCTAATAATTCAATCTAAACAACAACATAATATTAGTAGAAAGGATGGATGGAAGCAAATGGATTACAAACTATTAATATAAAGAAGATCATTAAAGCAAGAATGTGGCTAACTGCACGATTTGTGTATTTTTTTTTCGAAGCATTTATAATAACAGATTTATCACTACTCTACGAGTACAGTCGTTACATTTTCTGCTCTGGGTTCAACTCTCATAAATAATCACAAAAATATACATTTATTTTTAAATCTCAGAATCATGAAGCCCACGTGCGTGCATAAACTAGGATCCTGTTTTTCGTTACTTTCTCCTTTGACATACTCTCGGTAACTTCAGTTTTTAAGTTAACTGTTGTTACATGTTTTCCATGTTTAAAATAGTTTTTACTGTTATATCTTGATGGTTAATTATAGACAAGCTTAATTATATCTGAATCAAATTTGCTTAAAATATAGGGGAAAATTATTTGTTAACTGTTTCCCTAATTTGTCGATACATACAGTATCGAATGAGACAAACTGACAACTGTAATTTCGACTCGAGCGTTAAACATAAACCGCGACGGTAATAAACGTAGCACAAATGTTGTTAGTGTTGCTATATTAGACAACGAATAACCTGAAATCCGAAATAATTCTGTTCATATATCTTATAATTTTACTATATTATAGTTTTTAGAAAATAATGTAACGTAATGTTTTTAAAGATTCATCTAACAATTTTATTTGTTTATTTTCAGGCAAGCCTACGGCAGCTTGACTTGTCTCTGCTCTCTGAATTATGGACCCTAAGCGAAGCGATGGCATCATGGCGACGGCAGCTAGAACGAGGCCCGCGTCTACGTCCAGCGCCCCCTCCGCCACCACCGCCCCATTATCTCAGAACATAAAGAAGAACTTGTGTGTTGTAATTAAAGAATAACTTAAAGAACACTGTCTGTTTAAACTCCACACGAGTCATTCTCTTATCGATTTCTTAACCACCTCCTTGATTATGCAGATGTAGGTTACCCTCGCAAATAAATACCTGCAACCCTTGGTCAGAAGTAATGTACGTTGGGTTAGGTAAAATATATTGTGTTCAAATTGAATGGGCATTTTTTGGCATGGACAAAGATACATTACTGTTTTATTTCCATAAGATTCAGTCAGCGTTCAAGTGTACAGGAAGTTTGCTATCAAACAAAACAAACAAAGATGTATCATATTGCTTTGTGGCCTCCAAAAAAAGCCTGTTTGCCTGTAAACTACCTTTTTGTACCGGCCATGTTTGAGCAAAACTATGACTCTCAATGAAAAATACTGCCAATTCAACTGCATTTTTACAGTAACTAAGAGCTGAAGAAACAATATAACATATGCTCTAGTTAGGTTAGGGGATCGATAGAAATAATTAGATTGGTTTAAATAAAAACTTATATAGTTGGAAGGTTTGCAAGAACCACAAGGAAGTACTCTCTGGCTTTCTCAAAGAAAGACGCATAGGCAGTTTTTTTTTTACTACTTAATAGTAGTGAAAAAAAAATGCAGTGTGTGTCCCAATCCTGCCTCTGATACCCATGTCACCGATATGTAGTTTAGTCGTGTTAGTCTTCGGAGACTTACTAGAAAATTTGACTGTATTATCACAGTAGCTAATAAAATTCTGGATTAAACTATAAATTAAATAACTTCTTTACTATAATATGTATCAGACTTTTTAAACATGGAAACCCAAACCATCGACAATTAGCTAGTGATTAAACTTCTTACATAATTGTGTTATTATGATTAATTTAATGTATTTATTAAGAGAATTAAAGCTTGTACATAACTTAATGTGATTGATTTAATAGTTGTGACATTACAATAGAGCGCAGATGGCATATCCCATGACCCCAATAGTTTCATGACAAAGAAACACGATACAACCGCCTTAGACAGTAAGTATGACGAAAAGTTAATGGCAAACATGTAGTCTAACATCACATCAACAGCCTTTAATAGTCCACTGCTGGACATAGGCCTCTTCTAAGAAAGGAGGTTTTGGCCTAATATATTACGCTGGCCAGACGGGTTGGTAACTGGTTTGTGTCAAGTTTTTCTTCGCTTTGCACCGCTGGTGTCCTGCGTAGTTTGCTCCCTTGGTCGGCTGTTACGACACCGATGAATACAGGTGGTAACACTCTGTATTCTTAATCCGTTACCACACTGTTATAATTCTATGGAATATTAATGTAGTTTTATCGCCAATATGTGATCGATCTGTACCCAATAATTATCAATTTCATTAAATGACAGATTTATGACCTCAAAGCGAAATGCCTTTTTTCCTTCTTCTAATTTCGTGGGTCCCGTCGTGGTCCATCCCCTGGTGCCTCAATCGTGGTCAACTCGGTCATCTTACCGGTTCAGGCCCAGATGAAGTAACTGGGCCTGATACTTGACGGGACTTCCGACAGCTTACTCCAAAACTGGTCAGCTCTGCGTATGCCCTCGGTCGACTTTTGCCCAATTTGGGTGGACCCAGTGTCACGACAAGACGGCTGTACATGGGGTCCGGTCAATGACATTGTACGGTGCACCAGTGTGGACGGCAGCTCTGATCGCCCAGAATGGGGTGCATCTCTGGCCTCCTAGTTAATAGTAATAATATACGTGAACGTCTAGATTTTGATTTTACTTAGTCTTCAGCACCTGACTTTCATGTGCTAAGTATTTGCGATTTTGTGAGACATTAACGTACAAAATTTGTCTAGTCCACACACTCCACACTACCCAGTTATACTTTAGTTAAACAATTATTCAGAACAGAGCTGTCCAAATATCGGCCCGCGGGGCATATGCAGCCCGCAAAATATTTTTCATCTACCATTAAAAAGGAAAGATTAAAATTTTATTTAGAAATCCGTTTATATTAATTAGCAATTATTTTCTCTTCTGGCAATAAGTTTTCTATATCTGTTTGAAGCACGGAGTACTCCGTGGTTTGAGGCAACGTTCTCGGACAACCCCGGGAGATGGCAGGTTCTTCTTCACTTGTATGGGAGATGGCGGGTTCTTCTTCTCTAGAACGGGAGTGTGTGGGTTATGTATTCGATGATGGACAGTTTATAAAATAGAAATATAGGTCTTTATTGACAGACCTACAACACTTACGTGTGCACTGCAATTAGCAACAAGTAATATTGATAGAATCGTAAAAAATAAACGAATGAAATAGTAATAAAATGATATTTTAGTCTCTTCAAATATATTTAGTCATTTTTATAAGCCATAGATCGTATCTGGTTTGGAGAACCCTGATTTAGAAAATAAAATAAAAAGAAAAGTTCTTGAAAAAGTTTGCTAAGAGTAACTTTTTATTTACTGTTGCCATTTTAACATGAGTTTTCATTAATCAAAAGTTGCCGAAGGACAGTTGGCGGACACAATGTCGCGATGACACCGTCGGTCGGGTGGTCGGTTCTTGATTTCTGCACAGGTATTTCCCACAGTAGTAAGTATCTACAATTCTACATCTTTCGCTAATTGAAACTCGAAAGGCTATCTATGCGCTCGGTAGCTAAATTTGGTTATCCCATTCCCATTGATAGAACAAGTACGATAACGAACAAAACTGCTCCTGAAGTTCGTTGGCCAGAAATTCGAAGAAAATATTTGCGTCGCGTAGCCATATATAATACACGCAGGACACGATCTTGAAATATTAAAAGTCCAATTCAATTTTGACAAAACAGGTGAAGACTTAAAGAAATGAAGAGAAGAAAGAAGAACCTTTTTTTTATCATTTCACGTTTAATGATGGTGACATTACATTTCAGTTAAATACTGTATACATATTTTGTCGAACAATAAATTGTCTATACACAAGTATTTATAGATAGCAAAAGCCTCATGTTCGAATTCAGAGTTTTTAATCTATGTTTAAAACTTTGACAGATCCATAAGAAAAGAAAATTTGAACATAAACATTTAATTTCTTGTGGATCTACGTGTGTATTTTCTTTAGTTTTAAAACATCTTATTTTATAATTTTGGTAATCGTCGGATGACAATCTAAGAGTCCTAACCGATGTCAGAACCCTCAATAATACAAGGACACTCTAAAGACGAGCCGCCGTCAAAAATACCTGAATCCGTAAGGGTTAGTAAAATATTCATTTATCATGCTACCCCACAGTAAAGGCCTCTATCGTATAATATGAGTACAGAATTACAATAAACTTTTAGATTTGGAATATTAATTCACTTTTTTATATTTCAGAAAATCATATCGATGGAAAAAGAAAACGAAACAAACTCCAACCGGAAATCTAGGATTGATCTAAATGCGCTCCCCACTCGCCAGTACCTTGACCAGACCGTAGTGCCAATATTATTGCAAGGGCTTTCATCATTAGCCAAGGAAAGACCACCAGACCCTATCAATTATTTAGCAGCATATCTACTGAAGAATAAAAGTACATTCGAGAGCAACAATACTCCCACCAACAACCCACCTCCAAACCCACAATCCTAATACTTGTATAGTTGTAATAATCTGCATATTGAATTATTGACTTATGTAGTTACTTCATTTGTGATAAAGACTTGAGTAACAAATAAGTTAGTAATAGGGACACTGGAATAATAGTGATCATACTGATTGTATATAATATAGTTACAATACACAAGGAAATAGTCTGACATAGGTACAGGGTTTGTCTATGTTATATATGTTACTATATTACTGTAAGCCCAGCCTATGATAAATCCATATTTGGGAGTAAATGCTAGATTTACCAACACTTGTAGATACAATTTTAAATGTTTTGTATTCACCAAAACCCACAATTAAATTTCAATATGGCTGCATTTTTCCATTTCAAATTCGCGAAGTGCCTGTTGATAGCAAAGGGTTTTCCTCTATCACAGTATTGACTTTACTGGGTTTTTACAGAAATGTGTATACAATGTATGTAAAGAACAGTAATATTGATAAACAACAATTTTTAAACTGTACACTAAAATAACTCAAGAATAACTCCTCATGTGGTGCTACACTATACAGTGATTACCGGTGAGAGCACTAGAGTTAATGCACATACTTTTTAACTACCATGAAGTAAATACATTTTTAAATATGAAAAAAAATTACAAAATTCGAAACTAAAAAAAATGAGTTTTGAAATATAAGTTACAATTGGCAAAGTATACTTTGTAAGTCTTTGAATTCAATAAGTGGCAATATACTTGTGAGGAGTCCCTCAAATACAGTTCCTAGACCAGTACCTGTCTGCTTGTTTACTCCATAAAAAAGTGTGTTTAAAGTTTTTAAGTATACTTTAATTATTCCCCAGTTCCCACATTACAATCTTGTGTATTACACTAGTCAACTATTTGCTCAATTTCTACCGAACCAGTATTCTAGAAACACTTTTTTTTACACTAAAACTTAACTTTGAACTATTATTCTAAACCAGTGTTTCTGAAACTTTATGCATGTTATTACTTACTAATGTAATATTATGATGCTGCAGTGTATGTACACATGGCAAATAAAATACCTGAACATTAGTATGCAGTACCTGTAAATTTAATAAACGATTACTAAAGAAATTGAAGCTGATAACGCAGAATGGTTTCAATACTTATTAGTTTCAATTTCCTTAGTAATGGTTAATTAAAATCACAAGAACTTCATACCACTATCCAAGAATTTAATTAGCCAGCTATACATAAGTACATAAGCCTTTAAATAAATGCAATAATAATCATTGTTGTTCTCGATGATAGCACAATATGACTGGAATGTAGAAGTAATTTTATTTTACTATTTAAAATAAATACCTAATCTAAGATGATAGCAATCTTTGATTTTTGTACTTATCTGAGATTTTCATTTTTTCCTATTGCTATTGCTATAGAGCTATTGGGTCGCCTGGTACAACATACTAGAAATATCTACAATACAGAGGATGAAAGAAAACGAAACCTATTTGACTTGTTACCCATTGGTTACCCATGGGGTAGTTTGTAGAAAATTGTAAAATCAAGGGGCTTTTAGAAAAATAAACAGATTATCAATTTTTGCTTTGATCTTACTATTTAAAGCCTTAGTGGTCATTTAATCATTATATTAAAATGCAAATACTACATGTACGGTAAATGTAGCAGGTACTTGGATTTAAATAATTTTTGTTATACGTTATAAACAATTACATTCAAGATTATGCTGGTATGTTTTTACCCGATTAACTATCTTTAAATCGAGTAAAAAACATCAGAAGCCATTCGTCTGTTTAATTGTATTTTAGACTAGCCCGCCCGCGTGTATGTAGATTATATTATCTATGTTACTCGCTGATAATGTAGTTCGTGAAAGAATTTTTAAAATCTGTTAAAAAACATTTTTTTCTAAAAGGCCGGAAACGCGGTTGTGACTCCTGAGTTGAAGACGTTCATGGGCGGCGATGCCCGCTCTAACATAAAAAAGTGGTTTAGGCATGAAAGCATTACAAACAAACTCACTTTTACATTTATAATATATACTATCTGACCCGCGCAACTTCGTCTGCGTCTCACAAAAGGAATAAATTTTCCCAGTTTTTGTAACATTTATCATCGGTGCTCGGCTCCTATTGATCTTAGCGTGATGTTTTATTGTAGCCTTTCTCGCTAAATGAGCTATAAAACAATAAAATAATTTTTCAATTCGGACTAATAGTACCGGAGATTACCCCGAACATATAAAATCACCAACTTTACCTCTTTATAATACTAAAATGGAAGTATGGATCAGATAATATAAAACTCAAGTTTAAAGTTTTACATTACCAAACGAATTTAAAACACAATAAATTAAAAACACTATAGCTTCCTCATTTGAATACTTTAGATGGAATAAATATATTTAACTTGGATGTTATCATTTATTAAAAAAGTTTGGCATTTTTACATTTCAAATTATATCTTAAAATCGATTGTTATTTTAAACGAATCGGCTATATTTTTGACATCACTAATTGACTAGGTACTAATAAAACTGTCAAAAAGAAAATAGGGAATGGACAGTACCACAGAGTAAAGTTCTTCGTCATACTTCTGGCCACTTAGGACGGATTCCATGTTGGACGGATTCTATATAAGGCGGATTCCATTTCAGAAGAGTTACACTTTGGGTACAAAATACAATGCGTGATAACTTAAAGTTTATGTCCAATTGTATATCTATTTTTTTTTACTTTACACCTATAGTTTTGTTTTTCTTTTTATTATTTAATTGTTTTTTTAATTTTATATCACGTATATGGAGAGGAAAAATAATACCTATTAAAAACAACGAGTGTGCTTTAGACCACACGACTGAAGTAAAACTTCTTGGCTAAGAGAAAGAGAGAAAGAAAATGTGTGCTTCGCACCTCTCTCTCTCTTTCTATCTTCACTAACTTATATCTCCCTCTCAACTTCCGTTCGCCTCCCCCGATCACACTTTTCATCACGCATTCACCAGCTTACTACCCAATAATTGCCTGTATTTCGTAACTGTTATCTAGTACCATTACAAAGTACCTACCTTTGTCGTAGTATTGTAGTTATGGTATTTAATTAATTAAATAATGTTGTACTAAGATGATTATTTCAGAATCTAATAAAATGTTTTCCATGTTACTGTACTGTTAACACCCAATGTGGAAATCGTCCGCATTTTTGGAAATGGAATCAGCCTCCAAATGGCCAGAAGGTGCATTATATTATGTGAAACACACTATACTCTGTGTCGCAGCTACAGGCGAACTGCCGTCGCCGCGTCGGCAACCAAAAGCCGCGCATGCCGCAGGCAAAGATGCGCGTGCCGGGCATGTGTGGATGCGCCATTAAAGCGACCATTTCAACCTTTAAGCATTTCGTAATCAAAGGCAATTGATACTTTAAAAGACATATATTAAAATATATAACTGCAAATAACAATTTAACAGTCTTCAACATTATATATAGGGAATCAACATAATTATGACTCGCACTCTACGCAGAGTTATTGCAAACAAAGATGTATAAATAACATAATTTTCACTCATTACTTTAGTATCTTTGCTATTAGTTATGTATATAGCTCCCCTTTACAATAAAAGTTACTGGTACTAAGATTCTGCAGGTTAACTCTGGATAAATTGGAAGTAATAAATTATATCACTTAAGTAACTTTTCTCTGTCGATCAAAAACTTGATCCACCCTTAAATATCAACATAATCTTCTTTCATGCAGTCTACCATTATTTGACAGCCTGTGACGGTTATTTAATCCGCCTTTACTTCAGGTTCTTCTAAAAACTTTTGTCTATGCAGTAACCAAGAATCATTATCGTCTCCACCTTCGTCTTCAGGCATTGTATAAGGAGGCTCGAAGACCATGACGTCGGTTTCAATACTTTCGTCAGTGAGGGATGGAATTGAATCGCAGACGGGAAGAGGAACTGGCTCCGGCGGTAGGAACTCAGCCATGTATGCTGTCACGTTGCGGGCTCGCCATGTTGATATTTTACCTGAAAAGTTATAAATTGCTTTTAATTATTTAAATTCAATGCTTGCATTAGAAAAAAATATTACACAGATTATTAATTTTATTATTTATGTTATTTGAAATCTTATGAATATAAAATAACCATCTGTGACATACCAGTGCTATAGAAGTTAGTGGTTAATTAAAAAAAGACAAGACAACGCCCGCATTAGGATTATATACTGCGTCGCGGGGGACTTTACAAACATACATGAAACGGACAAAATTACATCCAGACTCAGAACAACAATTTGTGGATCACACAAAGTGTCGTCCCATGTGGGGTTTGAACCTGTGGCGTTGCACATCACTACGCGTATTGCATATCACTACGCCTGTATTGCCTGTTACATCACTCTCCGACTCGATGACGTAGTACCGCCTACCGCGGGACGCTCTCTAGGACAGACGGTCAAAATAGCTTGGAACATAAAGACATGTCTCGTCCGATACCGTAGTTAATAAGTGAACTGTGTTGATGTCTGTAAATTCGCCATCGTGAATAATTAATATTATAAGGAATAGACACAAAAATCAAGTGTTTTCTTTTGGACTTCAACAAACCAAATTGGTGACCCCGCGTGAATTCACGAGCGAACAGGTCGGTCGCCATTATTTTTTCTTTCCGCCTTCGAGAAGAAATTTGCATCGCGCTACGGCACGCACTCTGAATTCGAGCGGACATTCTGGCGATCCCGGCCCCGTCGAGCGTTTCGTGCCTATGTGGCTCACGAAAGCTCCGGGCATCAGCGACAACGAGACAAGCGGCGGTCGGCGGCACCGCGAACATCGCGCCACGCGCCGCGATTGCGAGCAACGGTAAGGACGGGGATTCCCCTCAGCCTGCGGTCGAGACCCTCGTCGTCAACCTGCATCTACGAGTCATTTACAATCAACGAGCGGCGGCGGCATTCATCGAAGCGCCTCATCGGCATCATAAAAACGTCGGTTTGGCAGCCAATGTCACCTTTCGCGCCTCGCTCGTATACCAATTGTGATAGTGTTTTGTGTTCAGTGTAAATATAGTTATAAGTTGAAGAATAAGTGTATGCACGTATAGAAACATTCGTCATTGCCATACGGTATCATAAAAGTGCGTTTTCATGGCGTTGTTCTTACTTGCGAGAAGTGCGAGAACATTCCACAGTGAAGTTTACGCTTACGAGTCATACATCAAGGATAGGGATGTTAAAAAATAATCGATTTTTATTGAAATCGATTATTATTTTCTTATAATCGATTTTTTATTCTCGATTTTTATAGTAATGTTAATCGATTTTTAGTAAATCGATTATATAAATTACGTGTTTAAATCGATTTTCAGAAACAGCTCGCATCTATGCGACGAATGAAAAAATCTTGCAGTATGTTTCAATTTTAAAAACAGCGCCATCTATGCGTTGGATCAAAAATCTCTGCTCCGTCCGAAAGATTATTTTCCAAAGCGGGAAATGTGGTCAGGAAAACACGAAACCGTATTTTAGGAAAGAGACTATCAAATTATTGTTTTTAAACTGCTTACTTACCTGAAAATTTATGGTAATAATTATTTTAAATTTTATTATTGTTTAATCCTAGTCAAATGTAAAATAGGACTGCACATTTGTGGAAATAATTATTTTTAATTTTATTATTGTTTAAACTTGCAGATTAACGAAAGATTATTTTTTATTTTAGTTTTAGAGACCATAACGTAGTTGTTCAGGATTGATAATGATCCTTTTAAGTATTTTATTTTAATACTAGTCAAATGTAAAATAGGACTGCATGGACATTTGTGACAATAATTATTATTTAAACTTAAAGATTAACGAATGATTTGTAATTTAGTTTAGTTTTTGAGACTATAGAGTAACCAAAGCCAAAACCTCCTTTCTAAGGAGAGGCCTACGTCCAGCAGTGGACTATCAAAGACTGTTGATGAAGAGTAGTCGTTTAGTTTTTTAATTCTCATTTTAAGTGTTTTATTTTAAATCTAGTCAAATAAAAAATTCTCATCATTTCATTTTTATTATAATAAATAAAACGTTTCATAGTACTAAAATGAGTATCAATAATGCTATTTAGTTTCCTAATTCCCTACTTTGAAATTTTTCGAATAGGTTATTTTTTTATTCATATAATTTTATTTTATTTTTAATCTGATAAATAGTTAATATGAATCTCTTAGGTTTATTATTGGAATATGGAAAGCATATACTTTTAAATAATACAAAAAAATCGATTATTTATTTTTGTTAAAATCGATTTTGGGCAAATCGATTAATTTTTAATATAGAAAAATCGATTTTTATTTAATCGATTCTTTTCCATTAATCTCACATCCCTAATCAAGGATTGCTCAAATTGCACTTCACTTGGACTCGCCCGATGTAGCAGCGCATTTCACTTGGACTCGCCCGATCTGACAGCAGACGGTAACGTTCAATTTGACAGGAGACGTTGACACTTCGCTAAGCGTTACGTTCCGGTAAACGCAGGTATAAAGAATTTTATTATTTTAAACGAGTATAAGGACCTTTTCGTTGCAAAATCGCCTTGTTAATAAAGTTTTACTGTATTTTTAGCATAGGGACTGTGTAATAATTACCTATACATCAATTTCCATTAACTTTTATGGTGATTTTCCTAACATTTTAACCTATTTTAATACCTGTGTTATTAGCTTACTTTTCGCGACTTGCATCTTTGATTCTTAGTCACCAACCATTGTATTTTTACGTACACTGCATCACAATAACTGTTGTTACCGTAACCTGCTAATATTGAAAGCATTTAGCTCAAAATTGTAAGGTTTTAACAACTTTCTATCTTGAGTGTTACATCTTATCTAACTATGTTTTATAACCTTTCCTGTGTTCTTATTTACCTTAAAGCAGAGCAATAGGTGTACAGTTAACATCTATTTCCTGAGTTTTAACATAATTTTAATTTTACACATCCTAGTGCTCAGCCCAGGTACACACATGAATTGTAAATATTTTGTTTAGTATATAAGTCACCTGTATTTAATTTTATTCTGCATCATGACTACTAATCCCCCATCCCCTCCTCAAGTGGAAAAGGTGGCAATAAAGCTACCTTCATTTTGGATAGAACGCCCCGCAGTTTGGTTTGCCCAAGCGGAGGCCCAATTTGATCTTGCTGGTGTGACTACCGACTCTACCAAGTATAATCATGTCTTGTCAACAATTGATCAGCGACTAATAGGAGAGGTTGAAGACATAATATTAAACCCTCCTGCAACAAACAAATATACCACGCTGAAGGAACAACTCATTCAGCGCTTGTCAACCTCTGAGGAGGAACGAGTTCGCCGACTTCTCAGCGAGGAAGAGCTTGGAGACCGTAAGCCCTCCTCCTTCCTTCGGCACCTTCGTTCACTCGCTGGCATGTCCAGCAAGGACGACCAACTCCTTCGCCAACTTTTTCTCCGTCGGTTACCAAATAATGTTCAGGCTATTCTGGCAGCTCAAGCTGATCTTACTTTAGACAAAATTTCAGAACTCGCTGACAGAATCATGGACCTGCCGAGCTCACCTCAGGTTCACAGCTTGGATAACACCAGTCCCACCCTATCCTCTTTGGCCACCTGTGTAGAACAACTTACCAAGCAGGTTTCAGCACTTATGTCCCAGCAGCAACATCACAGGTCCCGTAGTCGCGGTCCGTCTAACCACCGCGGTCGTAGCAGGAGTCGAACTCCAGGCCCCAGTGGTGCCAAATTTTGCTGGTACCATCGCAGATTTGCTGCCCGCGCTGCAAAATGCATTCAGCCATGTTCCTGGACTGTTTCGGGAAACCAGCAAGGCAATCAGTAGAGGCGGCAGCTGATTGCCACCCCTCCGGACGCGCCTGTTCGTTACTGACCAGTCGTCAAAGTACAATTACTTAATTGACACTGGTTCGGATCTGTGTTGTTTCCCGCGTCGTTTGTTAACAGGACGCTTTTCTCCGGCAGATTACGACCTTAGTGCCGCTAACGGCACTACTATTAAGACGTACGGCAACATAACCCTCAACCTGAATCTTGGATTACGTCGTGATTTTCGTTGGGATTTCGTAATCGCCGACGTCAGCTCCCCTATTATCGGCTCGGACTTTCTAAGTCATTATAATTTACTGCCCGATTGCCGACATAAGCGCCTTGTAGACGGTAGTACCAAGCTGTCTGTCGCGGCTGGGGTAGCCCAAATAAAACAGGATAGCGTTAAAGCTGTGTCCACCGGCGACTCACGCTTTGCTTCAGTGCTAGCTGAGTTCCCTGACATAACGCGTCCACCGGGTTTACCCAGATCGGTCAAGCATAACACGGTACACCACATTAACACCACCGAAGGGCCTCCCGTATCATGTCGTTCCCGTCGTTTGGCTCCAGAAAAGCTAGCTGCTGCCAGGAAAGTTTTCGAAGATATGGTGAGATGTGGTACGGCTACACCTTCAAAGAGTGCTTGGTCATCTCCGTTGCACATGACCACGAAAAAGGACAGCACCTGGCGCCCTTGCGGCGATTACCGCGCTCTTAATGCCCGGACAGTGCCTGACCGCTATCCAGTCCGGCACATCAATGATTTCAGCAACAGCCTTTCCGGTGCCCAGGTCTTCAGCACGATTGACTTAGTAAAGGCTTATCAGCAGATTCCGGTCTTTGCAGACGACATCTCAAAGACGGCGATTATCACTCCGTTCGGCCTCTTCGAGTTCCCATTTATGACGTTTGGTTTAAGGAACGCTGGCCAAACATTCCAACGTTTTATTGATGAGGTCGTTCGGGGCTTTGACTTTTGCTTTGCCTATGTCGATGACATTTTAGTTTTCTCCAAGAACCCTGCCGAACACGCAGAACACCTACGTATCCTTTTCCAGCGTTTCAGTGAATATGGTGTCGTAGTGAACCCGAGCAAATGCGTCTTAGGCGTTTCTGAGGTCACGTTTTTAGGGCACCGCATAAATGCAGAAGGCACTAGCCCACCCGAGGACCGAATCCAGGCCATTCGCGATTTTCCTCCTCCCAAGACTGTGCAGGGTATGCGACGTTTTCTGGGTATGGTAAACTTTTACCGCCGTTTTCTTCCCAAAGCTGCACAGTATCAAGCACCTTTGATCGACGCAGTCACCGCCGTTCAAGGTAAAGGCGCAAAACCCTTTCCCTGGACTCCACAACTTAAGGAGGCTTTCGAGGTCTGCAAGAATAGCCTAGCGTCTGCTACTTCTCTATTTCACCCGGACTGCAACGCCACCTTAGGTCTATTCACTGACGCTTCCAGTACCCACGTAGGAGCATGCCTCCAGCAACTGTCTAGCCAAGGTTGGCAGCCAATAGCATTCTTCAGCAAAAAGCTCACTGCCAAGCAAAGCGCTTGGCCTGCTTATTACAGAGAACTATTGGCTGTTTACTCAGCCGTGCAACATTTTAGGCACATACTGGAAGCTGAGCACACTACCATCTATACCGACCACAAACCCCTACTCTACGCGTTTATCCAACGCAGAGACAAGTTGCCTCCCGCCCAGTTAAATCAACTGTCGTTTATTTCACAGTTTACAACTGACGTTCAGTATGTAAAGGGCGTGGACAATGTCGTAGCGGACGCTTTCTCCAGAGTTGAGTCCATTTCACTGGAGGAGAACTTTTCAGCCCTCGCGGAAGACCAGGAGAAAGACCTGGAACTCGCAGATCTCACCAGAGGTAACTCTAGTCTCCAACTGACTAAGCTCACTGTCCCAGGTACTGACATTTGCCTGACATGTGACACCTCGACGGGGAAGCCTCGCCCGTATGTGACTCGAGCGTATAGAAAATTTGTATTTGACCGGCTACATAACCTGAGTCATCCCGGTGCAAACGCTACCGCGCGTCTCGTGGCTGAACGCTATGTTTGGCCCGGCGTGCAACGAGACTGCCGTGCATGGGCGCGCCAATGTCTGCCCTGTCAGCGCAGTAAAGTCACGCGCCATGTCAATGCACCGCTCGCTAACTTTACCACGCCTACCGGGCGACTCAGGCACGTTCATATCGACATTATTGGACCTCTTCCCACCTCGGAAGGCTATAGCTACTGCCTCACTGCAATAGATAGGTTTTCGAGATGGCCGGAAGTCTGGCCCATGAAAACAATAACCGCTGAAGAGGTTGCCCTCAGGTTCGTGTGCGGCTGGGTATCACGTTACGGTGTCCCATGCACTATTACCACTGATCAAGGTCGACAGTTTGAGTCCGCACTTTTTAAACGACTCCTGGAGCTTTGCGCGATCAAACGCACACGGACAACCAGCTATCATCCCCAGTGCAATGGCATGATAGAGCGGTTACATCGACAGCTCAAGGCCGCTCTTATGTGCCATGATGAGGACTGGTATCGGGCACTACCGATGGTTCTGTTAGGAATCAGGTCAGCTTTCAAAGAGGACCTTAAATGCACTTCGGCGGATCTCTTATATGGGGAGTCGCTGCGATTACCTGGGGAACTCCTCGTACCCAGCTCTTCCCATACAGAACCGACAGAAGATTTTGTTGGCCAGCTACGTCGCAAGATGGCCCACATTCGACCAGTTCCGGCTTCACGTCATTGCTCTCCAGCGTCCTTTATCTTTAAGGACCTAGCAACGGCTACGCACGTGTTCTTGCGTGATGACACCGTACGGAGAGCATTACAGCCACCTTACACCGGTCCTCATAAAGTGGTCAGTCATAAAGACAAAACTCTCGTCATTGTGGTCGCAGGCAAATTGGTCGAGGTTAGTGTTGACCGCACTAAGCCTGCATACATCTTCTCAGACCCCGACCCAAGCACTTCCACCTCTCGACCCCCTACAGTAGTCCCAGGAGCTGCTGCGTCGCCTCAGACGCCTCTTGTAAACCAGCCTAGTCGCGCTCCCCCGGATATCCAAATAGGGAACCCTTCTGGCATTCCTGTCCGACAACCCTTTACCACCAGGTCAGGCCGAACGGTAAAATTTAAATTTCCTCATAATGTCTGACTAGTTCTAACTTTAGATGTAACTTAGGTGTAATTAATTATAAGTTTTTTTTTTATATACACTATTCGTATACTATATTATACAGTAGTCTCTAGCAACTAGCCAAATATTGTTTAACATCCTAATTTACCAAATTTTGTAAAAAAAAATGTTTTTGCTCGTGGCCTATGGCCTATTTTTCTCCGTAGGGGGGTGGTGTGGCGTTGCACATCACTACGCGTATTGCATATCACTACGCCTGTATTGCCTGTTACATCACTCTCCGACTCGATGACGTAGTACCGCCTACCGCGGGACGCTCTCTAGGACAGACGGTCAAAATAGCTTGGAACATAAAGACATGTCTCGTCCGATACCGTAGTTAATAAGTGAACTGTGTTGATGTCTGTAAATTCGCCATCGTGAATAATTAATATTATAAGGAATAGACACAAAAATCAAGTGTTTTCTTTTGGACTTCAACAAACCAAAAACCCACAACACTCGGCGTAGTAGAAAGCGGCGTGGCGACCGCTTAAACCACTACGCCATCCGTACAGCCAATTAAAAGTTAGCTAAAAAGAGATAATTGTCTTTGATTAGCTATATACCTTCGAATACCGCTACGTTTACCGCTGTATTTTATTTCATTACACAACACTTTTTCATATTTTCTTTTTCATTATTAATAACAGTAATTATGTATGCGTTTGATTATTTACAGTCTGTAACATACGTTTCTCGAGATAGAAAGTCAGTGTTGCCTCATAGTCTACCAAATTATAATAGCAGTAAATTTCAATTAGCGATGATATAATTTAGATTCTCAAGTTAAGTAAATACTTTTTGGGAGAACGCACAAATTGTAGTCTGGTCTTAAAATCAATAATTATTCTGTACTTAAATCCCTTAGAGAGCAATCAGATCAAGTAGATCTGCTCTTCTTTGAAATTCGTTCGTTTTATTAAAAGAGAAACAATCTTTTTTCTTCGCATTTTGTAAACACATTCGTCATATATTTAAAACACTTTCTTCTTGATTAAAGAAATAAATTTAAAGATTCTGAAATATCTATTTAGTTTAGATATTAGGTTAGTATACTCGTACTACCTACGAAATATTTTTATTTTAACAAAAAGCAGTTTCCTGGAGAACCTTAACAAAAAACCCTTACTTAATAACGTTATTGACCTCGTAGAGACTTATATTTCAAAATGAACCTTATTTTGTTCTTAAATCTTTATCTAAGTGAGTAGTACCCTTAAACTGAGAAAAAAAACCTACATTTTATCGTAGGACGGCTGTTGACGAATTGACAAAGGCTGATACACAGATACTTAAACATTACAAAAAAATAATTAAAACAAGCTAAATATTGAAAAAAAAAACAACAAATAACCCGACTGCGTTACTTAAAATTTACAAACCGGCGTTCATAATTATCAAATACCCAATGCCACTCTCACAATTAAGTCGAATCTTACGACATCTCACACTGCGTGCCAAAGAATTATGCCTATACATACATACACTCGAAAAGCATAACCCAACTTCTGGCGCAGTCGGATAATTACGTAATCATTCTTCTTTCTCATTTTACTCTGATTTCTTTGTAAGTAACTTCTTCCTCACTATAAAAACGTGACAGTTACTCTCTAGTTGCGAGTATTTAAGATTTATACACTCTTAAAATTTATAAGTAAGCAGGTACCTTACCATACGTCTCATCTATCTCCGCTTCTTCTTCTTCCTCGCCAAGTTTTTCTTCCTTATTTTCATCTTTCTCTTCTTCGCCCTCTCCTAACTCTTCTAAGGCTGGATCTTTTATAAGCAAATAAAATCCATGTTGCATACAACTAGTGTCAAAAACAAAACATCCAGTGCCTTTAGGCTTTCCTTTCAACCAGGAACCATGATAGCGGTAACGTGGGTAGATAATTTGCCCTGGACCCTGAATGACGCCTTGCAGCCAAGTCCCCATGAATTTAATCTGGTACTCAGCAAACAAATAGGTTCCCAGTCCATGTCTTTTACCCTTGAACCAGGCACCTTCGTAAATGTCACCATTGGGGTAATAATAAGCTCCAAACCCTTGCTTGAGATCATGTCTCCAGTCACCTTCGTAGCTGGAGCCATCTGGGTACACCATGCGCCCTACGCCGTATTTCATGGCCCGACGCCATTCCCCTGAAACCATAAAATTAGTAATTTATCGTAATCTGTAGAACGAATTGAGATCGCCGTCTCGGTTCTCAAAATTATTTGCATACCTATTAGCATTTTCCAGTGATTCAACTTAAAAAACCTTTTCGTTCCTAACTGTTATCGTATAAGAAAATTGGTAGAAAGAATTTTTTATGTAAGTAATAATATTAGGTCTTTACCTATGAAATTGCCGTTTTGTATGCAATAAGTGAAAGTACTTATTTTTTCAAACTTTTTTATTTCTGTTATTCGAAGTAATCACCCATGCAATCGACGCATCTTTGCCAACGCATTGGCAGTTTATTGCCCTTCTTGTAAAAATCTGCTGGGCGGGAGGCACCAAACTCTTCAAAGGCATTTTGTACTGCCTCTCGGGAATTGAATTTTTTACCCACTAAAAAGTTAGTAGTAATAATCGGTAGGTGCAAGGTGAGGTCTCGAGTTCGATTCCCGGGTTGGACCAAATGTTTGTGATTAGCAAATATTTGTTTCGGAGTTTTCTATGTGTTATATGTGTATATATATGTAGTATATAAGTATTCTATCAGTCAATCTAGCTGAAAACTAGATGGCGTTGTATGTCAAAAAAACATACAAGACCAGAAAACTTTAAAAAAAAACTTAGATGTTACTTGTTCGAAACGAGTCGTAATAAACTCACACGGAACCCAACATAATGCGTGTTACAACACGGACTTCGCCGATTTTTAAACTTGTTTTGTTATAATGTATACACTTTCATACTTCAAGTGTAAGTATGCGATAGGAAAACCCAATACAGGTTTCCTTTGACTGGTCAAGTTTTATCTTACGTTAAGTGGCAAGTAGCAACGGCTGAGCGATGCAACAAGGTAATTAGAATTTTTTATCGCTTTTCTTAGTTGTGAGCCATGGGGCCGATGCCCAGCAATACAACAACACAACTAATAAAACAGGTTCGATAATTAATATCGTATTATTAGATCCTTGCCCAACATGAAAATTGTCTTAAATTTTACCTTCATAGCGAGCACCATTCTTGAAAATGTACAAGCCTTTTCCACTCCTCATGCCGCGACAGTAGCAGCCTTCGTAAAAATCTCCATTAGGTAATATAGCCCATCCTTCGCCATGTCTATCTCCAGCAAGATTACGTTTTCCAACATAGACCTTAAATAAGTGAAAAGAATTTGTTAACAGACAGAGACGCGGGACAGAAAAGCCGTAATATTATTAAACTGTGATTAGTAGCGTAAAATTTTGTATTTCAAAGACTTGCCTTACAAATACATGTTTGTACGTGCGTACGTTGTGTTATAATATGAAAATATTTTTAAACCATAAAGATTAGTTTAAAAATATTTTACGAATATGTTACGAAGTTTATCAGTTACGATTTATGTCGAAGCTGTCTCTTCACCGTTCCATCTTGAGGAAGGCTCTGTGTCGGACATCTATGATGTATTTTAACCATAAACAAAAACCTCCACTGAATCCTTACTTACCTAAGGTTGAAAGTTTTCAAGTAATCAAATTAGGACAATTTGTAAGTACGCCCTAAATTAAAGCTCAGATTTAAACTCTGTTTTTAATTGAATAAATCACAATGATTAAGAATACACATGATATGCACATCAAAAGATTTATCGGTTGGGACAATATCGTGGATAGCCCTAATATTATTATTTTTAACTTTTGAGATCTATTAATAAACCTAATGATGTGTAAGTAACCAAAATCTTCATTTGTAGGTACTTTATATGTAGGTTATATTAAAACCATATAATATATTAAACCAATAACCAATAAATATATTAAAACATATTAAAAAACCTGCAGTTTTTTACACCTAACTGCACAAATAATTTTAGAATCACATTACAAGTTTGTTGAAGTAATGAGAGACTTTAAGTAAAGAGCTTTAAGCATAGACGACAATAATTTTAACTATAATTTAAACATTGGATTTTATGTAAATATTGTGTCGGCCCACAATAGATAATAATAACCCTAAATTACTGAAAATATTACCCCAATAGTATCAACATCCTCTGGCCCTTCCCCTTTTTGCTCTGTAGTCATATTTGAAAAATATTTTTCTTGTTTATATTTACAATACTCTAATATTGATTAAATTGAATTGTCAAAATATTTGACAATGTCATTATCTGACTAAAATCCAAATTATAAATTATGAAAGCAGGTCGTATCATCAATAAAAGTCAACGACTGCGTACTTTCGCCAGTAATATTAATAGATTCGTTGTTAAAAAGAAATAAAAAGAATATATTCGCAAACAGAAATAGTTTTATTTCTTATACGTCCATATTTGAATAAATTAATAACACACTACATATAATTATAATCAAAGTGAAGCAAGCTAAGCAAATAAACGAGTAAAGTGAGCTGGGATAACAGAACTAGAAAAAAAAAACTTGGCAATCTATGGCTGACTAGACGCTGGATATTTGCTTCAATGAGCATACAAAGTATACCTACGTTAGTTTTCGATATGGCTTTTATTTTGAATGTTAGTTTTATAAGGAACAAATTACAGTTTTCTTTAGATAAAGAAACTTAGTTGTAATTTTTAGTCACCAGTGTTAAATACATAAGATGTATGTGTATTGTTTATCTGTTTAAATTTCCTACAGATATTAAAATATAACTTGTTCCTTTTAAAATTCCTGTAATTTTAATGCATATTCAAAAGCTAATGAAATTAGTTTAATTCGAAACCGACATACGGTAGGTATTCTGCATGACGCGGAGATCAAATTCTTCCTGAATTGTCCCTTCCTTTTAATATTACAGGTACTTGATCATTTGTAACGTTTGTTTTAAAATTACTTATACGTTGTAAGCATTACGTAACAGTTTGAATGAATACAAGCAAGACAAATCCACCTATAAACTTACAGTTTACGAGCTACTGCACTTACATTATTACTTCTTTAATGTTATAGATCAAATAAGATCCAAGATCTACGTCTTCAGATACACTTGCAAGAGCAACATTCTAGTATCGCTTTAATAAAAATAAAACCATCTGATCTATCTGTTACACTTACATACATGCAATTTTCAAATTTATGGTTTCGCTAACCTCTGTAACTGAGTATCATCGTCAGGTAGGCACACCAGCTCACAAGATAATCACAGATAATTGGATAATTATAGCCTCATAAACAATTATTCAAATATTTTCAATAAAATTTGATATTTTTAACAAATAAAAGCAAGAGAAATTATTACGAATAGTTGGCAAAAGAGAAAATTATGCGAAAATTATACTTAATCACTTAAAACTACATATAATATTAGTAATTTTGTACTTTACGGTTCTGCACGGCTTTGCTGTGGCAACTAATACATTACACCCGTCAAAGGGACTTAAGCTGTCTTAAGTACTTCTACATTAATAAGGTCAAGTTATTCTTATGTTTAGGTCACGAGACGCAGACGCAGCGATGACCTCGATCAAGTCAAATTCCATCATCGTTTATTTTGAACAACTTTTTACTCACTCGTTCACCTTATTTTGATAAACCCACTTTGACACTAAATTAGAAAGCAGTTTATTGTTTACATTATATATTAGCGTGGTGGTGCCTGCGGTGGTGCGTCTTCCAACTTTCCCCATACCACATTGCACATTTCTCTGACTAAAGCTTGCTCTCCAGTATCTAGATCTGGCGCTGGTCTTCTTCGCTCTCGTTCAACCCGTTCTCTGACTTCCAGAACTTGCAGAGCTCGTACCACGGCTTCAGGTCTTTCATTCCCTACGGCACTGTTACTCTGGCCTTTCTCAGCCTCTAATCGACGCACTTTTTGCTCTAAGTCTCTTACGTATTGTACAGTTCGTTCCGCAAGCTGAGGATGTGGAATGGCTATAGTTGGAACACCACGGGAACCTTCTTCAGCGTTCGTTCCACTGCTACTACCATCACCATCGTCTCTTTCTCTCCCAGGTGTTCGTCCACAGTTCACACACGCACTCCTTTCACGTTCCTCGTCTAAGTATAAACATAGTTCTTTTAATTCTAGATTATCACGGATAAGCTCCTGCTGTTTATCATCTAATTGTCTTAGTTTATTTTGATAAGCAGATACCTCCTGTCTCATCACTGATGCTGTGTATCTACCAAACCTTTGCCACTCGCGAGCCAACTTTCTGCCTTTTTGACGATCGTCATCTAAAAAGCAACACAAATCTCTTAGTTCTTGATTATCCTCACTTAATCGTCTGTTTGCTTCTTTCAGCGCTTTTATTTGGGCCAAAAGTGCTTGAATCTGTTGTTTTTGGTCAGTTGAGCCTCGCGGCCCCTCCGGTTCCACACGTTTGGTAAACTTGAGCATATCTGCTGATCTTCTGTGGATCTGTTCTTCTTCAAGGTTACGTTGAGCTCGTTGTATGTCGTCAGCACTTCTCGCTCTCGCTGTCGGCTCCACGGGCTCGTGAACTAAAGCTTTCGTCACTACTTCACCAGGGGGTCGGGGCATGCGGCTAGTTCCCGGCGGTTGCGGAAAACCCGGATAACTTTGGGGATATTTTAATAAATGGACGGATGGTATTCCGCCGTATGAACCCGCCACCTGTCCGTGCGGCCCCAAAGGATATTGCAATTTACTGGGATCGATTGATTTTCCTGCGTATGGCGGTTTGTACTCTTTGACGGATGGGTCGATAGTGGCTAGTTTGGGACCGCTCGCTGCAAGTGGAGGCGGGTGATACCGCGGTGGAAAGTTGACCGGTTCTGGGCCCTGTTTACCTAGTTGCTGCTTCTGTTTACTAAATTGGGCGACGTTCTGATTGATTGACATTGTCGTGAAACCGATTGCTTTTCGGTCACCAACTCAGTCAATGCTTCTCTTTGAGTTCTAGCATATAATTTCTAAATGGAGAGATCATGTTGGTACAAATGTCAAGACGGCGTGAGTTCAACGATTGGTCCTTGAATGAACGAAGGTGGGGAACGCCGCCGGCTGCGTAGGCTGTAGAGCGTGGCATTCGCGCAATTAACTTAACCGTGTTACTTTGTAAAACTAAATGCACTTCTTAAACACTGTAGGGCAAGAATAAACTCTTATTTATTGAAATCTTAGCTCTTGTCTTTTCAAAAATATTGTATAATATGATGTAGTTTTTAAAAGCAGGTTATGCGTGACCGTGTGTATGACGGCACAACGCGGGCGCGCGCGGGGCGCGTGTCTCGGACTGGCGCGGGCGGCTCTACGGCGCTCCATTGCGTCTACCTGCAGAGAGGCTGTTGCGCGTCCCGCTCTACCGCACCTCACCTGTGTGCCTGCACACACACAGAAGCAAGGCTGTCTATGTCTAAACGAATAATCATTGAAGTCTCCTTAACTTTCATCACACAATGACGACAAGCACGCACACAGGCGTATTTTTGTTAGTCAAAGGTGCGCGGGCGCAAGAGCAAGGATTACACTCATCTATTCATTCTATTAATTGTATCGCATACTTTAACTTTAACAACGGTAGTATTAAGAACATGGCAATGACATTTGTAAAACAAAAAGTACTAGTTGTGTAAGAGTCTATCTGAGAAAATAACAAAACTGACAATACGTATGTTTTAAGTATTTGTTATTAAAAAAAACTTATGGGTTAGTCAAAGGTATGACACACTTTCATTGACATTGAAAACTCTTTAGAACGATTTGCAATTAACCAATAGGTACAAAGCAGTTATCGCTTATGGACTTGATGGTATTGAAAGTAATGATACTTGTCACCTCGTACTTGCACGAAACCGAAAATGTTTATTTCAATCAAAGTAAACGAGATTTTGAAAGAGAATTAGCAAAGAGATAAATCGCAAAACTAAACCCAACTTTACAAATGTATAGACAAATATTTTGTAGCAAATTCACAGGGTAGCGTTGTTGTAAATAGATTTTATTAGGCGTTTGGTAGTCTCATCAGTAATATTCTTTTAAAACTAGCTGTGGCTGTGATTTTTTTAAAACTAGCTTCTCGTAAGTATCATGGTACTATATTTTTCCATTTGAAAGCAGGCCAGGTATTTTTTTTCTAATTAATACATAATTCCTAAAACAGACTCATAGAGTAGTTTGTAAAGGGTGTTGTGTGTAGGTAATATATAAAATAGTAGATATAAAGAGTGTACAACCAGAATACTATCACTTGATTGTAACCTCTGGTTGCTTTTACCAAAACTTAAATAAGGAAATATGAGGTAGGGACTAGACATGGAAATTATTGCCATTTTCAAAACATATTTATTTTGATGAACTGATTGGTTTTAATCACAGCGATTCACATGTGATTGTGGCTTCGTCATAGACAAAGATGAATGACATTAAAATCAATAAAAAGGTCGTAAGAATTTTGATTGATTAGCATAACAATTCTAATTAAATCGCAGTGGTTTTGTAAATCAGTCACAGGTGTGTTAATATGATTTATCACATGTGATTGTAATTTTATTCCATCCCTAGTAGGGACACAATACGCAACACGGCATAATCTTCTTCTTATCCCTATACCAAATATGTCTGGGGTCGGCGAAATGAGCTTTCTTCTTCAATTCTTCTGTATCACTAACAGCTTACTCTCTTTCTAGATATATCCTCTTTCACGCAGTCAATCCATATTATCTTTGATCGTCTTCTAATCTTATATCCGACAACTACACACACTGCACGATGGCGTCGTGGTCTAAGAGGTCGCCTTGTCGCCTACAGCGCTGAGTGAGGTGGTTTCGATCCCCACGGGACAACACTTTGTGTGATCTACAAATTGTTTTTCTGAGTCAGGGTGTTCTTTATGTGCGTTTCATAAACGTATAAAGTGCCCCGTTACCCAGGATTTATTCCTAGTGTGGGCGAAGTTTTAAAAAAAAAAACCTTCCATACATAAAACTTACTTTACTACATTTTGCTCATCTCTACGCATCACATGTCCATACTATGCCAGGATATATATACTATACCTCAGACATTATTGTATTTATTTTATTCCGTATATAATAATATAATATATTAATATTTATTTCTGTAGTACTCGTAATGTCATATAAAGAAGACGCGAACTAAAGTATCTAATACCTTTAGACGAGCAATTCTTAAATATATACTTATATTCAAAATCTCGGAAGCGGCTCCAACAATGTTCATGAAATTTGGTATGCAGGGGGTTTCGGGGGCTATTAATCGATCTAGCTTAGGTTTTATTTTTAGCAAATTTACCAAAAACAAAAACCGACCAAAGCTCGGTCATCCAGGTACTTTAAATTTTAAATTGACCAGTCTACGTTCGGGCAAGTTGGTGTGGTAGTTAGTGATGCCGTCTGTTAAGCCAGAGGTCTTGGGTTTGATTCCCAAATAGGACAATTATTGTGTGATGATCACGGTCATTCATTCGGTGTCTGGGTATAATTTATCTATAAGGTAGGTAGGTATTTAGAAATACATTTAAATATGTATGTTTATACAAAAATAAATGTGCCCGGTTGACGACAGTAACAGTAGGCTTGCCTTCTACTACTAGAATTGGTGGAATTATAGGCATAATGTAGACCTTCAATATGCCACTGTGTCCCCTCTAAACAGACATTGGGCACCTAAATTTAATAATGAACGAGTACATAGTTTAGATAAATTACTCCTAGGCACAGAACTCAAACTCAAACTCAAACTCAAACTTTCTTTATTTCATAAAATTTTCAAAATTGTTTGAAATCGTCTTCCATGTAGACTCTAAAGTCATAGATCAACACACACAAAAGCAACAATCTGTTTTGTCAAATAGTAACCAAATAAATTTAAAAAAATCAAACCCATACAAAATCTATGATATGCCTGTGCCGATCTACAACCGCCCGTTTCCAAGGGGTTGAGCCTTATGAGAAGAAAGGGCAAACAAACTCATGGCCACTCTTTTGCAATTCACAAGTAGATACAATGGCACTATTAAATATATATCACAACATTGTTTTGATGTGTGCTAGTATGTCCGTTATTAAGGACTTAAAGGTGAAAAAACAACGAAGAGAAAACAAGATTAAGAAGAACAAACGAATACAAGAGAAAATGAAGTGAAACATAAAAAATAGAAAAAATAATAAAAAACATACTAGCCACACCACATTTTTACTTAAGAAAGAAATAGCCTGCGCTAATTAATCCCAAGCATTCTTGTCCTCCATGTAATCCACAATCGAGTAGTAGGCCCTCTGGCACAAGCCACGTTTTATTGCGGATTTAAATTTGTTAATACTCAACTCCTGAATATTATTTGGGATTTTATTATAAAATCGGACACATTGACCTCGAAAAGACTTGTTTATCTTTTGGAGCCTAGAGGCGGGTACAACAAATTTATTTTTATTTCTGGTATTTATGGCATGTACATCACTTTTTTTCAAAAAGCTATCTTTATTTTTGTGAACATATATTACATTTTCATAAATATATTGACTTGCCACTGTCATTATATTTATTTCTTTAAATTTCTGCCTCAATGAACAACGATTGCCTAAATTATAAAGTGCTCGAATAGCTCTCTTTTGCAGCACAAAAATTGTTTGAATGTCGGCAGCATTCCCCCACAGCAGAATACCGTACGACATTATGCTATGAAAGTAACTGAAGTAAACAAGTCGTGCTGTATCAACATCAGTCAACTCTCGGATTTTCCTTACAGCGTATGCTGCTGAGCTGAGTCTACTCGACAATTTATCAATATGTGGGCCCCACTGTAGCTTAGCATCTAGTGTTATACCTAAAAATGTCGTAGTGTCCACAAGGTCCAGCCCGACATCCTTAATTATCACAGTAGTTTTCACTGGCTTGACGTTTGGCATAGTGAAACGTATACACTTAGTTTTTTGTTCATTTAATAGTAAATTGTTGACATCAAACCAATGAACCACTTTCGAAATGGCGCTGTTTACAAATGTGAAATCAGAAAGTGTCCGTTTTAGTCTAAATAATAGTGATGTATCATCTGCAAACAACACAATCTCGAGATTGTCCTTGACAAAGTGAGGTAAGTCGTTAATATATACTAAAAACAAAAAAGGGCCGAGAATAGAACCCTGTGGAACGCCCATTTCTATCACAGAGCCTGGAGACCGCTCACCATTAATATCAACTTTTTGAATCCTATTACATAGATATGAGGCAAGTAGTTCCAGGGCTTTATTTTTGATACCATAGTGCTGTAATTTCCTGATCAGCGTTTCATGAACAACACAATCAAAAGCCTTAGATAAATCGCAAAAGATACCTAGAGAATCGTGGGCATCCTCCCAGGCATCAAATATATGTTTTACTAGCTCAACACTAGCATCAGTTGTGGAGCGACCCCTTGTAAAACCAAATTGTCTATTGTGCAATAAATTATTATTATTAAAAAAACTGTGCAATTGATCATACATAATTTTTTCAAAAATTTTACTAAATACTGGTAGTACTGAGATAGGTCTAAAGTTAGTTGGGTCAGATGTACTACCAGATTTGAATAAGGGAATAATTTTACTTGACTTCATAAGATCAGGAAATACACCACTATCAACACATTGATTAAATGTAAATGACAATTGATTAGCCACAAGAGATATAATTGTCTTAGTAATTAAAACAGAATTTCCCCATAGGTCGGTTGTTTTTTTAACATTAATAGTGTTAAAGGCTTTAATAATTTCAAAGGGGGACACATATTGGAACTTAAATTCACTATCAATTCTTCTAACATTCTCTTTTAAAATTGATTCTGCAAGGTATGGTGAGGAGTTCAAAGATTTAGTAGTTGATACAGGAATGTTAGTAAAAAAATTCTCAAATGCAGCAGCAACCTCAGCATTTGATGTGATAAATTTATTGTTTATGTTTAAATTAAATTCATTATCACGGTGTGGATCTTTGCCAGTTTCACTATTAATAATTTTCCAAGTGGTTTTAATCTTATCATTACTACTTTTAATCTTTGAACTAATAAAACGAGACTTAGCCAGTTTACAAAGTTTCCTAAACAGCTTCGAATATTCTTTAACATAATTATGAAACTGTTCACTTTTATTATAATTCCTCTCATCGTATAGCTCGTATAATCTTTTCCTACTTTTGAGTAAGCCAGGGGTAGCCCATTCACTAAATGTGGCGTTACCTTTAACCACTAGCGTTTTTGGTGTAAAAATGGTGTTAAATGTTGAAGAGAAAGTTTCAAAAAAACTATTATAATAAGTATTAGGGTTATTCTCTACACAGAGTACTGAATTATTAAAATCAGCTTTAAGTTTATCCTTAAAGTTTTCACAACGCTTTGCGGTTTTAGGTATCACCACAATTCTTTTTTCTGACACTTTTTCATACCTATCACAGAAAGATACTAATTGACCACAGTGGTCAGAATGTAATTGATTGATTATTTTCTTGTCCTTAATAACAATATCTGTAAATATATTGTCCAAACATGTGGCAGTGGTGGCAGTGATTCGTGTAGGCTCCAAGAACAAGTTCTTCAGATTGTATGATTGAAAAAGTGCCTTGAACTTGGTTACTATACTTGAATTTTCCAATAGGTTAATATTGAAGTCACCACAGATGATGACCTTCTTTTTTGATCTTGTTACTTTAACTAATACTTCATCCATAACACGTTCAAAACAATCATACATAGCTGAAGGAGGTCTGTATACACATACTACTATGAAACCTTTTAGTTCTAAACAGGCTATTTCTGTAGTTCGCTCAACTGATAAACTAACAATGTCATGGCGCTCTTTAAATTTAAGTTTCTTATTAATGAAGAAGAAATGTCTTTCATCATCATCATCAAACGTCATCACACATTTAGTTGTCCTGTGAGGGAATCGAAACCTCTGGTTTGGCAGTCATGATCATTAGCCACTAGATAAAGAAGCCAATCAGAATCACTTTCAATGTTAGAAAAAAATTACACACAATAATTTCGTCACATCAGCTAGTTTCACTTTTTGATATATTATAGATTATTATAATCATCATCAGCAGCCTTCCATAGCCTCCTCCTTTGAAAGGAGATTTTGGCCTACTACACCACGCTGGATCAAAGGGTTAGTATTGGGTTCGTGTCAAGGTTTCCTTCTCTTTGTAGTGCTGTTGTCCTGCGTAGTTTGCTCCCTTAGTCGGCTCTTACGACACCCACGGGATGAATGGTAGGTGGTGACAATCCCTATTCTTAATCCGTTACCACACAGAATACGGAATTTTATTTAGTCTATAATGGCGAGTACTTACTTTTTTATTTTGTTTTTTACAAATATGGTATCTAGTTCACGCATGAAAAAAATACGGTCGGCATTTATGGATTCATGACTACGTGAAAGGAACTATTTTATTTCGGTCACAAACGCCTTAATATAACTTGTATCACGAACGTCTTGCATTGTAAGTTTAACCTTTTCACTGCCTCATCAGTATTCGAAGTCGGTAATTTAGTAAGTATATGCAAGATGTGTTGTTTACTTACGGGGGTCGTGAATGCCCCCTCTTCGAATTCAGCAGTAGTTGGTGTTCAGCGCTTCGCAAGGATGGCGCGCGTCCATACTACTGCGCAACTGGCCTGCCTCGCGACTATACTGATAACGCAAGGTATGTGTTGTGCAAAACAATATTCAGGTTTATTTTTCTTCTCCAAGTATTTTTACGGCCTGGATTCTCAAGATAGTTGGGTAACTGTATCTAACCTATTACACACATACGAATAAAAAGGTATTTTTTAAAGAATACCATTCATGATTAAGGAACAGGTAGGTAAAGTTTTTAGAATAATATTAAATTGTTACAACAACAACTGGAACGAAATATTTAATTTAAAATTATCATTTGCCTTCTCTTTTTTGTATTTAATAAAAAAACTAATTATTGTGCATTAAATTTGATTTTATTAATATAGATAATTTGATTGATTAAAGAAGGCTGTGGAGTAATATTTTACCACATGAATTTTAATACGCCTTCTATTTGTAAAGAAAAGTACGAGATTAGCATGCCTGTCGATACCCAGGGCTGCGTTACTTTAAAATCTTATTAAGTTTTCTTGCCAATTATGAGTTAAGTACTATTCCCTCGTTAGTGCAGTGACATACACTAAAGTTAGCTATTATGATATAACGCGTGCTCATTACATTTAACCGTGATCTTTAAATATTTTTGAGGTCATACTGGCGTGAATGTAAGTATACAAAAAGTGTATAAAAATTATTATTAAATAATCTTAACCTCCAATCCGTGTTTTGTGGGGCAGTATCCGTGTATGGAGAAATATACGTATATTTCGTCCATCTATTATTATATATTACATATTATATCAGTATTTGTACTTCTAAACTCATTATATAAAAATATGAAAATTAGTTTTTAGTTGTGTACACAAATAGATATTAAGTTATTCCTGCTTAGCCCTCTTCCTCTCTCCTAACTTTTTCCTGTGCCTGACAATTTCCTTAATGGTTCTGTATTTTTATATTTTTAAGATATTCTTAGAGATTATATTTATTTTAAGATTTCATGTACATTATGGAACGCATTAATATTGAGTAAGTATTGAGTATCGTCACGTCCGTGTATTACTTGTATAATACTATGCTCAACTCAAATAAGTATTTAACATATTATGAAACATTTGTCACGTATTCAATTTTAAGCATATTGTAGCGAATTATTTTGAATGTTTATGGGAATTTAAAGCAATCGTAGGATACTAGTGTCAAACAGAAATTATCGCATCTACCACACGATATTTGATAAAGAAATCCTAGCGAAACTGTTCTAATCTTAGCTCCTTCTAAAGAACTTAATACAAGGCGTGCACCAGATCAAAATACATTACAAAATAATTAAAAAAATTAAAACTTAATAAATAATTATTTATTAAATTTATGCAGCCAGGTCATTATGATTTTATTAAATAATTTAATGCCTAATGTATTTTGATGCACGCCTTGTATCAAGTTTATTAGTAATAGTAGGTACCTATTAACTCTTTATTCTTAACTTATTTATTAAGTTTTTACAGTCAGGTAATTTGTCAAAAATCAGAAGAGAACATTGATTACTAAGAAAGTTCATACTTAATATTCACTTTGAATTGATAATATTTAAAAATCCTTAAACAATTTGATCCATGTTATTATTTTATAACATAATACTTGATAAACTTATATAAAAAGTGAAAACTCGTTAATATGCAAATGATAAAGTAATAATACCTACCTAATAGCGATAATTTTAAAAAACTAAATTTAGCAAACGACAAACTGACTAATTAATGAAGTGAATAATTATTTTAAATATATTAATTAGTACAGTTTGACTACATATTAATAAAAAATCATACAGAAGATAGATCTGTCTTAAACAAAGAATATTTTATTATAAGTCAGAGCGCGTTCGGTAAAGGTTTCGATTTTTGATACATTTGTAAATGGCGTCAATATATATATACATATACGATTACAATTTTATATTTTTTAAAGTTACTAAAATGAATATATTATGTACCTATTTAGAAAATTCTTTGTTTATTTAAGGAATAAAGGTAATAATTAACGTTCAAAGTTAATTTAAAACTAAAATTCATCTTGATGTAGGTGCACCTTTTTTTTTCTTTTTTTTCCGTGCGGAAATCCCCTCGGATACCACTCGGACACCTCGGATGACACGATTTTCATCAATAAAAACTTCGTCATCATCACCAACAGCCTATAACAGTGCACTGCTGGACATAGGCCTAGTTTGCTCCCTTAGTTGGCTCTTAACGACACCGATCGCGATGCGTTGTACAGGGGTGGTGACTCTCGGTATTTTTAATCCGTCACCACACGGAAAACAAAATTAATCTTTTTGTTTATATTTAAACTTTCACGATTCCAAAACCACCATAGTTTTATATGGTATAATTTAGTATATCTTTCGAGGCCTGCCCGAAGCGGCTCGTCTAAACCGTATAAACTCTTAAAGCCATTCGCTCTTCTATCCTTTGAACATGTCCAAACGATCACAGCATCTCTTTCTCAATTTTTGCCTCTACATCTTTTTTCTACCTACACCATTTTCTTACCTCACTCTACCGGTAAATCTTTTTTCTTACACAAATGTAGCTCAGAAAATGTACCTTATTATGCCCAGGCCTCTATAATTTGTTAAAATGTGTGTATTAACCGACTGTTATAAATCTAGCAAGTCTAATAATCATGCATTTCGTGTGTGCATGCAACAGAACAACATTGCATTAGGCACTGACACAATAAGAACACATAACCTACACATTTTAGACCTACCGCCATATTGCAACCAGTGACAGCGCGCCTCTCCGACACAGTTCGTTAAGTTCCATAAATTGACACACAAACTTCTGTTCTCATATCACTATTGCACAAACATTTTATTGTACGTTATTACCATGTAACTATGGTGTTAGCTGCTATAAACATACTATTAAACAACATAAACTAATAATTCATTTTGTATAGTACTTAAAACTAATAAATAAATGGTATACTGAAGTCCTCAAAATTTGTATTCAGTTATTTCTTATTACATCAGTTATTTGCAGGTGGAAATTCCGTTTCTAGGGTATACCTGGTTCCCGGCTATTAGTACCCGAGACGGCGTGCGGTTTTAGTCGGTTCGAGTCCGACATGCCACCGATAGGTGGTATCCGAGGGGATTTCCGCACGGAAAAAAAAGGTGGAAATTCCGTGTAAATCGGTTTATGCGTTGTGGAAGTATCAACATACTTATGAACGAAAACTTTAAAAATCGTTTATTAGTCTAAATATAAAAACAATTCAATTAATAACCGAAATAAATTCCAGGTACGTTGTGTCAGCGCAACCCAATAAAGGAGGCCCTATATATAGACGAGGCTTTCAGCAACGCTACGTTTGAAGACTGCGTGTGGAGAAGGGAGAAAGAATCGTGTCCAGATCCTGATGTAAACTTACACTTGTACACCGAGTCGGAACCATACAAGCACGTCGTGAGTACTGCACAGGACATTTCTAATCTTATACTATCAATGAAGAAGTGCAAGGGAGTCTTTTTTTATAGCATAGGGGAGCCAACGAGCAGACGGTTCACCTGATGTTAAGTGACTTCCACTGCCCATGAACACCCGCAACTCTAAAGTCACAAGTGCGTCCAGTTCTACCCCACAGTTTTTTTTTTAATATTCTACTACATTCACACAACGCCATCTAGTCCCAAACTAAGCAGAGCCTGTACAATGGGTACTAGACAACTGATATAAATATATATTATGTACTTTTTTTTATGTAAATACATACACATTATACATAGTAACACCCAGACCAAATCAAACATTACATGCTCGTGCACTGAAATGTTAGACTTCAGCGGGAATCGAACCTGCGACCTTTGGAATAGCAGTCCGTTACACAAACCACTACGCCATACGGTCATTGTAGAATTACAGGGTGGGAGAGGTGTTTGAGCTCTGATGACCTCACTCGCTCGCTCGGTGAAAAGCAACGAATGAACTGCTCAACACCCGTTTTCTGTAGGGATGAAATAAAATCACAATAACATGTGGTAATTGCATAAAATAAAATAAATCGTATGATTTAAAAAGCATTTCGTCACTACTATGACTGATTTACAAATCCACTGCTACTTAATTATTATTATTACGCTAGCGCAAGACTCGCGAAAGGCGTAAATCTAAAAAAAGGTCGTTTTCATTGATAAAAAGAATTTTGTTGGAATTTAATGCCACTTATCTTTGTCCATGACAAAATCACAATCAAATGTAAACTCGAGGTGACTAAAACCAATCACTTTATCAAATGAATATGATTTAGAAGTAATTATAATATAATAATTTCCATGTCTAGTTTTCTGTGAGGCCGTAGTAACACTCGGGGCGCCTGGGGGCCTGATCCAGGTGTGCCGAAAAATTTAAAGTCACTCCTTTATGTAAACTTTCAAACAATTATATATTTTTTTCATGTCGTATATTGATTATAATGATTTTATTTCACATTAACTAATGTAAAAGTAAGTACCATACTTTAATCTTCAAATTATGTCAACAAAACAAATTAATTGTGATTCAAATTAGTAGATGTCAGTTGGAACAGTTGAATTTTACAAACGCACAATAAAATTGAACAATGGTCCAAATAAAAATCATTACACATATATAGGAGTTGTCTGTTTATATATGGACTAATGCCGAAACTTCAAGGATTCGGATAGGGTGGCCCTAAACTAAAATCAATGATTTTCTTACGAATAAGACACAAAGACAAGTTTGATTTAATCTTGCGGGCTCTCGTCTTTTTTATTGCTAATAAATAATAAAATAGGCTACAGAATATGTGTAATACAAGCCAAGCCTTCTATTTTTTTGGAAAAAATATGCAAAGATTCAGTTAGTTTAATAATCGATAAACTTTACAAAGCAATTATCTTAAGTCAAGTTCAGTTTTGTTAATGTTGTCTTTACAAAATGCCCTGTCACTGACAGTATATAAAATAAAATGCAGATATTGAAGACACTACTCAACCCATTTTAAGCGCCATAAATAACAAACGCCAAACTCTATTAATGAATAATTATTATTATAAGCATATATCCATTGTTACGCAATGTAAACCTCTATCCCACCAAGATGTGTACGTTACTGGTAGTTATTAACTATTGTAAAAAAAAACTCCCACGAGTCTAAAACTAACATTACATTCACGTTCATTAATGTGATAAACTATCCGCTTATGATGCAAACTATTAGGTATTATTTCCCAAGTAGAAATCACTGGTGATGCAGATGTGATGTAACATAAACTCTATGGATGTTAACGGAGAGCCAGATCCAATGCTTTAGCAATATACTAACTATTCGAATTCGATATTACTATTAAAGTTAGTTATCATGACGAAATTATTAAACGACTTTATTAGACGTCTCTAAAATTGTCTTCGTTTTGTAAGATTTAATTACTGTAGTTACTACATTATGAAAAGTCCCTGGCCGCGTTTTCTGGCTTTCTATCTGCCTGAACGCGATAATCTCCTTAAGTGGCGAACGAATTTTTAAAGAAACCTTGGGTGATTTCATTAATCACATCACATCACACATCACATCAACAGCTTTTAACAGTCCACTGCTGGACATAGACCTCTCCTTAGAAAGGAGGTTTTGGCCCACTATAATACTACTAGTTAATGAATTGGATAAATTAGTTGAAATATGATGATGATTATTAAAGATGTCAGAAATAATACTACAGAAATATTGTTTAATTACTGCAATGTATTAGGGTGTTATTTCTCTAAAAAACTGAAGAAATTAGGGTTACATACATTAAATAGAAAACAAAATGAAAGTTAAATCATAGAATGCAATGAATTAAGATTGTAGTGTAAGTACTTAGTTAAAAAGGTCTGATTTAACTAATCATACTTGAATATTTTTATTTAATTTCAGTAATTCTCTTTGTTAATTGACTGTTTAATATTGTGATGTATTTCTTAAGCCATTATTTTTTTTTATCTATGAATTACTTTTAAGTAAGATCGGTAGGACGTTAACCGAGATCGCTAAAATATTAAACTATATTATATGATTGATACTCGAGAGGCTCGTGACTCAGTAACCGGATAGGTTAGCACATTGCAAAGTTAAGCAAAAACAGCTTGGTCAGTCCCTGGATTCTTAGATCCCTCAGTGCCTCGGAGAGCACGTTAATCCTGTTTGCTTTACCAACATCTGTAGCCATCCTTACGGACAGTTCGAGCCCTAAAAAGTCCGATAACTTACGAGTATCCACAGAACTTCGATATCGCCTAGCCAACACAAGTAGGGTTGTGGAAGTCTGATGGCACTCAAGCTCATTCCAATCTAAATGGCTGGGAAGACGATTACTTGATTGATACTTTAGGTACCTATAACTATATTATATTAGATACTGTAAGAGATTCACTTTTTTTCATTGTAATGTGCGCAGTGGACAGGAATGCGACCAAAATACCGCTAGTTGTCCTCAAGGGGCGTCAAGCGCTCTCCTTCCGCGGCGACAGGTGCTCATACTTTATTGCGAACACATATCACCCATTCATGGTTGCTATACAATCTATGCATGAATTGTGTTACAAACCTACATTCAGAACTTTTTATAGATAAGACGGTATTCTTTGAAAATATATTCAATGATTTGGTCATGGGCATAGACTACACATCCAAGATGTCTAGATAGACTGTCAATGTTGCCAATTTTCGAACAAAATAGTGCCCTATTGTTGACTATCAAATTCCTTTCAGCCGTCGCTGTATGTTTAAGCTGTGTTATCGCTCTCACTATAAACGCTTTTCACGACGATTTAATAAATTTGGTTTAGTCTAGTAGTTTGTAGTGCGACGATCTCTCTAGACATATGAATGACCTAAGCTCAGGATATAGGCCACCCTAATACAATATGACAATCTAGTAACTTTGTTTGTGGATGTCCATTGACAGCCATTATTATAACCAATAATTAATTAAGAAATTCCTTTTCAATGAGTAAGGTATGATGCAGAATAAGAAATAATTCCTTTTAACGAACAGAAAATTTGAAAGAACCTGTGTATAACTAACATGACCTAACTGTTAACATTTTTTATTTAGTAAATAATGATCGAACTAACGTTGAAGTCAGGGGCAAGTCAAATGCAAACTGCTTTAAAAATTGAAAGAAAATTTATTCTTAATACCAAATAATAATTGACACATCGCACAGATGGCTGTCTGTCTTATCCGAGCCTGTGCCAGACTTGTAATAATAAATACGTACCTATTTAATTGATTTTCCTAAATACATACCTGTCTAAATATTGAAAAATGTTACGTTGACTTGTTTACACTTTTAAACTCAAAAAGTTCTGCAAAGCTCAAATTTTGACACGATGTACCCCGCTCAGTGTTCTTTTTTTTATATATATCAGTCCTGTTCAGTTCAGTCAGTCCTGTTCCTTATTTCTCAGCAATGCGCCAAAGCGAAATGTGCCAGGGTACAGCTAGTTATATATGAATTACACCCAGACAGAACAAATAATCGTATTTATGACTCAATTTTTCTTCCTACGTCATTCTCGATCCTCTGAAGCGTAAATTGCGCTGAGCTGCAAATCATTTCAATGAATCTCATAAACAATCTGAGGACGTAACTAACATTACTGAAGATTAGATAAAAATAATGACTGTAATTACTTACCTGTTTTCAAACAATACATTGCAACGTAAACACAGCTTCTTCGAGTTGTATGTCATGTCATATCTATACATCTGGAATCGCTACGTTTACTTTTAAAACCGAGTTCATAAAAAGGAGAAGGGTCAATTCTGTGGTTTTTATTTATGTTTGTTACCGTCCGTCCCCGTCATATGTGAATCGATTTTGCTTATTTTTTATTTAGGAGGGAATACTTCTTGTTCGATCGAATGGGCCCATAACCGCATAACCAAATTACGAATAAAAGAAGCTTGTCTTTCGCCAAAGTATTGTTTTTCTAAATAATAAAATTCATCGAAATAAACTTGACAAATATTTAAATAAATAGAAAAATTAATCCCTTATTTTACCAAAATCAAGGCTTATATTCGCAACAAAAAGTAGATAGCCTATGTAAGTATGAAGCGAACTCATATCTAGCCAGTTTTCATTTGTACCCAGTTAGTACTATCGGTCTAAAGCGCGGCCAAGATACAGACAGCCAAACTGACAAATAAAAATAAGTATTAGCTTCAGTATCGATTACAGAGAGGCTTTCAAAAAAATCTGAATACCTTAATACCTATAGTATTAAGGTATTCAGTTTTTTTTTTAAATTGGAGCTGTTACCGTTCCTTTTAAGTATTGATTATAAAAAAAGGTTTTACATATAAATTCGTCATCGCTGCTGACGTCACCTTTTAGTTATTTATATGAATAGCCCACATAGTTATTTAAATATTTTCTAACTTTGTGTAAACAGGTGGGACTGAATAACAATCTTAAATGTATAGAAATGCGACATCAACACAACAGTATATGAGAACACACAGTCATATAACTAATACAGACACCAGTCTCACACAAAGGAAATAACTGCTGAAAACATCTCACAGACAGTACTCTGATCCCAAACTATGCAAAGACAGTACTGTGGTAACCAGACTACTAGTAAACATACTTAAATATTTATAAATACATACATATTAAATTACACCTTTTTTTTCTTTTTTCCGTGCGGAAATCCCCTCGGATACCACCTATCGATGGCATGTCGGACACGAACCGACTAAAACCGCACGCCGTCTCGGGTACTAATAGTAAACATACTCAAATATTTCTAAATACATACATAATAAATTACACCTAGAAACAGAATAAATGATCCTGCTCATCACACAATTATTTGTCCTGGCTGGGAACCGAACCCACGACCTCTGGCTTAGCAGTTAGGGTCGCTAACCACTGGACCAACAGGGCCGTCTAATATAAAAAGCGTACTTATTGCTTTTAAACGAAGCTAAATAAAATATCGAACCCGATTTTAGAATTGATTATCTTAGAGCTGATCTAAGTGGATGGTGTCAGAGTAGCTATATAGTAGAATTGTTCAGTAGCTCGAGTTCAGGTTTATATGATGCCTATTCACATGTCTAATAAATTAGGTAGGCTTAGGTAATAAAAGTGTAATGATGAAGCGAAGAGGTTTTTTAGTGAATTGAATTTTTACTTTTTAATACCAGTAACTATAGATTTCAGAATCTCGATGTGAATGTTTTCACAAACAACTTAAGTTAGATGCCTTTCGTTTCCAGGTAGACTTGAGCAGTGAGGACTGGCTCCGTCAGAATAGCTGGGATCCGACGCACGAGACGATTCTGCTCGTACATGGGTACGCCGGGGGTGATGATACATTGCCTATCACTGTGCTTAGAGATGGTAAGCTATTCTATTCTTCTTACTATTCTTATATTCTTACTATACTATCATCATCAACATCATCATCAACAGCTTTAATTAGCCTACTGCTGGACATAGCCCTCTCCTGAGAAAGGAGGTTTTGGCCTATTATACTACGCTGGCCAGACGAGTTGGTATAGGCTTTGTGTCAAGTTTTCTTTCTCTTTGCAGTGCTGTTGTGCTGCGTAGTTTCCTTGCTGTAGTATTTTATCTATATATGTACTACTAGTACACAGATGATATACTGACGTAGCCACGTACTGGCTTGATCGATTACTTACTGACAAAAGATAAGGAACATTCATTATCAATACGCTACTACTTGTAGTATAGTTATGGAAGTATACGATAAGGCAATGATAGTTTTGTAGTAGGATAAATCGTTAAGTTATTAATATTATTATTTAATATTTTCTAAGCACTTGATTTTCTTTCTTACCTTCAACATTTTTTGAATTAACAAACGATTGATTGATAGCATAGTCGTCGTCACAGAGACATGGTATTGCCAAACCAGTATTGCCATAGCCAAGCAATAATGCCTTTAAATAAAATGTCAAGTTCCTATTTTCTGCTTCAAACCGCAATGTAAAATTACTGGAAAGTGCAATTTTCCAAAGTACAGTAATTATCTTCTGCAGTATGGCCAATAAAAGGTGAAAGTATTGGCATACGGTACAGTCGTAATTCTTCGTTCAGGAAGTATTTAGGAACCAACAAGTTGCAGTGCGAACGTAACGCACTGCATGATAATCGCAAAATGTCGACTCTCACGGCTTTCTCCCGCATGTTGTTGTTAGCGATTGCACTGAAGTTCGATAAACTTAAGGTTGATAGGTTGCAAAAATACTAACATTAGAATTAGTACTTGGTGACGTAACACTTATGCACTTTCAATTTTAGAACAGTGCTGATGCGCGTTAATGTACTTTCAGTTTTAGATCAAAGTGCTAATGCGCTTTAATTTCATTTTATTTAAATCAATACATAATGCCAGTAGACAGTTCAAGCGTGAGGATAATACATAAGTAAATTTTTGGAGAAAAGAAATGGCCCTAAGATTGACCGTGAGAGAGCTATGTTGCGGCACATTTAGGCGGGCTCGACCGGAATAATACTACGGCCTCACAGAAGACCAGTTTTAAGCAATTCTGTTCTTGTTTTTCACGGAAAGAGTGAGGTTACCCCAGGGGAGAGGTATTCAAAGGGCTGTGTCTTCAGTTACAGGTAACCATGGACGGCGGTAGTCACTTGCCATGAGGTGACCTATCTGCATGTTTGGGGGCATATCATAAAAACATCATTGACTGGCCTGTCGGTCTATTGGTTAGTGAAACTGACTGCTACGCCAGAGGATGTTCGATTCTCACCCAGGACAAATAATTGTGTGATGAGCACGGTCATTTGTTATGTCTGGGTGTACTTTATCTATAATATGTATATATTTATAAATATATAAGTATGATTATCTGGTTAAAATAGTACTGGCTCTGCCTAGTTTGGGATCAGACCGCCGTGTGTGAGATGTGTAAAAAAATTATGAATGAAGGAATATTATGAAAATATTATCACCTCGGTCCTTTTTTATTGTCCTTTGAGATGTTACCGTTTCCATTGCAATGGAAACGGTGCACTGCAACAGCATTTCTAGACATCTAGAAATATCCTATCACCACCCTGCGTCCAACACCATATAGAGAACGCGGCTTTATAATATTTAATTTCATGATCAAATAATTTTGTGGATGGCGTCTTTTTACTTACCGAAAACGTTTGACCTTCTACTTAATCCTATATATTTAAAGAGTTATCTTTCCTCCGAAACAAGATTACCGAGTGATCTTTTTCGACATTGTTTAGTTACTTTGCCAGAGAGAAAAAGAGACACCATATCTGCCCGTTTCTCCGCTGCACGCAAAAAAATTACAGTTGAAAATGTGGTGAGCAACTTTCCCCTTAGCGATATAAAGGGAAGGAAATATGTCTTGCCAGTGGTTCCAGATGGGTTTTAATCAAACCCCTTGTAGTTTGGTAGCTTCTGTTTAATTATTTAGTATGAAATACGTGACGCCTCATATACGCAACTTACTTTACATAATATTTGAAAACAATACTTTTAAAGTAAATCCAAACTCTTATACAACAAACAAATATGTAGTTAAAGTCTTAATTAAATGTATCATATGAGTAAGTGTATTATGCTCGGCAATTTTATCTTTACAAATAAATAAAATTGGAGTGTCTGTTTGTAATATTAAAATAACCGCTTTTTACTAAATGCATATGTATGTTTACACGGTGCATATGCCAAAATAACATTTTTTACAATTTTTGTCTGTCTGTGTCTGTTTGTTCCGGGTAATCTCTGGAACGGCTGGACCGATTTCGACGGGACTTTCACTGGCAGATAGCTGATGACATAAGGAGTAACTTAGACTACTTTTTTAGGACTAGCTTCGCCCCGCGGCGTTGCCGGCGGTTATAACAACAAACGCGGGTAACACCGCTGGTCTCAGCTAGTATCTTATATACATACATAACTAGTAATGTTTTTCAGTATTTCCATGTCAAACAATATCGCACGTTAAAATTTTAAATTCAGACAATGAAACATACGTAGCCTTAATTTTAATATTGTTAGTCAATTACGCCTTCTGTATAACTTGGCAGTATTATATCTATTCTGTGATTTAAAGTTCACTGCGAAGGTATCCTATCTCTCCAAGACGACCTTCTTACAACCCTAGTTCTTTTTTTTTAAATGAGCGTACCATTGTTAGAATTAACAGTTACTTTATGCAGCACCTTATTACGTAACAGAGATGTGGATACTGTATGTCTTAGTAATAACGTAACTTATGAACTTTAAAAGCACTTTAATACAGCTCAAGATAAGTAAAGATTTTTGTTCCAGCGTACATCCGACGTGGCGGTTACAATGTTTTTATGCTAGACTGGGGAAGTCTCTGCCAGCCTCCTTGCTACGTAGCAGCAGTCCATAACCTTCGACCCGTAGCCCGGTGTATAGCTGAGGCACTGGGAGTGCTTCGCCACGGTGGGCTCAGGACTGACAAGTTTACATGCGTGGGACATTCGCTTGGAGCTCACATGTGTGGAATTATAGCGAATTATTTGACGTTTAGGATTAACAGAATTATTGGTAAGTTACATTGTAAGAATAAGATACCGGTTTACTTAAAGCACCTGTAACACGCGATCGTGTTTGAATCTCTCATGAAAGTAAACCAAGCTGTATCTCAGAATCGTGGTAAATGGTGATCTATTGCCTATGCCTATCCTGGACGGCAATAGGGCATGAGCATATGTTATGTAGGTATGTAAGTATTCTTCTTAAGGTTCTTCTTCTGTAAGGTTCTTCTGATGATTGTTTAAACCGTTCTAGGCTTAGATCCTGCCCGCCCCTTAATTCGCTCAGCGCCTGCTTTACGTCTGGATCCTGGCGATGCCCGTGCCGTTCACGTGCTGCACACCAACGCAGGAAGATATGGTGAAGCAGCTCGTTTGGGGCATGCTGACTTCTGTCTCAATGGAGGAAGGAGTCAGCCCTATTGTGAAGATACGCCCAGTAAGTTGGGAGAAATCAGAATTGTGTTGAGGAAAATGTCAGGTTAAGGTGATTTCCAGATAATTTTAGGCTAATCAAAGTTGTAAGCCATCTTAAAGATGAGTGACAATTGAAGAAAAATTCAAAGACAAATCAAGAAAAATGACGATGAATGTAAAGATTTATAACAGCTAAAGATATGGAGACACAGGTTTAGTAGCCGCTAACGAGCAGGAGGCGCGTTAGCTTGTTCTCTGATTTAGGTGTAGTACATAAATCTTATAATAGTAGCTCATAAAAGACATTATTCGGAAATAAACTTTAATTAGCGTCAGAATACTGGATGTCAAAGAAAATAATAATACCAAGATGCATTCATTTTCATGAAGATGGGCGATAAGATGTTAAAGATCACATGACTCATATCGTTAAAATTTCATAAGAAGAAGATTTTATTATTTTTATTTCGGTATAAATAGGCATAACTTTAGAACTGCTATTTTTATTTATTCAGTTATGGGTGTAATATAATTTTAAAATCGTATGGTTCTTCATCGTTCCAGACGAGGCCCTCTGCAGCCATATCTGGTCAATCTGCTACCAGGCGGAGAGCTTGTTCCGAGCGCGTGCAGCGGCCCCGTGCGGCCGGCGATGCTCAGTGCGCGTGGCGCCCGCCCGTGCTTCTGCACTGCCCGTGCCCATCGGACAACCCGCCCCCATGACGTCAGTATACTGCAACTGTAGTATTTCTACTACAATGGACAAACCATTTTTGTTCCTATTCCATTTTAATTTTCACGATCTATGATTTATAATATTAAGCGGTTATAAAACATTCGACTATCATGATAAAGATCGTTTTAATCTCTGTTTGCAATAGTTTGCATTGGTTCTAGTCTTGCTGTTCATAAAGATATAAAAACAAACAGTATTATCATTCATTATTAGTCAATTCTGATCAATATCAGAAATAATAATGAAAGTCAGAAATAATCAGCTTATGGTATATGAGTATAGTATACCATATCAAAGCTGATTAGTTTAAGTCTAGAAACCTTTAAGTCATATGTACTCAAAACTTATTATGAAATTAGATTATGAAAGAAATAATTAACAATCGGATAGGAGTTAAAAAAATTAGAAGAAGCTGCGGCAATCCCGTTTCAAACAAAATTTACAAAATTACATCGAGATCCTCTACAGGCCGAGAGGTGGAATATAAAAAAAAATACAATATTGTTCGGTAGTGCATTTGGCGCGTATTGTCTGGAGGACTTCACGACGCCGTTCTGTCCGCACACGTCGGGGCTACTCGAGGGCGACGAGCGCTGCTGCCTGGACGAGCTGTACGCGGCGGCAGCCACCACCGAGCCGCCGCGTCGCCGCCCCTCGCGCCCGCGCCCGCTGCGCCTGCGCGCGCCGCCGCTACTGCGCGACGGGACCAACAACTAACCAGATGTAGTTTAGCTCTAACTTAGTAAATGTATTTCGTATGCATATTTAAATTATTTGTAAAGTGAATGTACTGATAGATGTTGAACAGTTAGGAAATCAGGTGTCTTCACTATTCGACTTGAAAAATTAGGAATGATATCGAATCACTGTTTCACTACGGTTACTTAATTAAGCGTGCGGTCTACTTTCTCTATTAAGTGAGTAAATATCTTAAGGATCAGTATTTTATGCGATTGTAGATACTTTTATGTTTGAACAAAAATAAATTAAAGTATAAAAATAGGCAGATATGTTTGATAGCTTAATTGGATTATACAATACGTATTATAATTAATTATATTTACCTAATGGTAGCGTAGAATTAGTGGTGTACTTGTACGAATCACATACTTGTAGTACTTGTACAATTATTAGGAAACATCCATTAATTAGGCGAGAAATTAAGGCGTGAGGGGATCGACGGGAATCTTAAATTAGCAAGTACAGTTTAATCAAAATATATTAATTAAGCTTCATAAGTGCTTATTAGATACAAAGTTACATATTTACAAAAAGTCTACGAATTATGACATTGTGTGACAGTGGACGCGGGTCAAACTTTCGTAACGTAACGTAACTTTTAAGAAAATATTAAATGCAAAATATGTGACATCTTACTAGCTGTCCAACAAATACAACTGTAGCGGGCACGGGCGGGTCCACTATTCATCATATTTGTGTGACATGTAATTTATTATGAGTATGACATAATTTATGGATGGCCCCTAACATCAACATAACATAACAGCAGAAGACCCGACATTTATGAATAAATAGACAAAGCACATTCTTTAATATGTTACCGAGTACCAGAACCAGCATATTAGGGTAATACGTGTAAAACTAGAACATATATTTATTTTTTTATTGAACGCATCCTTTATGTGGTACCGTGGTACGTGGGTAAAGATATGTATATTATTTTATTTCATTTATTTATTTCCCTTATTCATGGAAAACTTATAGCTAGAAATATCAGTAAGAATGACACCATTAAACATCTGAGAACCAATTACCAGTTTTCAATTCTACTTCCAAACTAAGTAACAGAAGTTGTTTTAAGGAAATAGGTTAGGCAACCCTAAAAAATCACAAAAATCACACAGTACTAAAGCGCCGAAAATCACAATGACTTTGTACTCGTAAGCGCTATCACAATGTTACATTATATCTAATTGAAAAAAAAATTAAGCTTAGGCGCTAAAGGCTTAATGTTTTTTTTGTTGTCCTGTAATAAAAAAGGATCAATGTCTAAAAAATTTCTGCTTACGTACACTAAGTAGCTGTACTGTCGGTCATTTGTTTTAGTATGAGGATTATGAAGAGCAAAAAGCTTAAAGCTAAGTTACTAAGATGGCACGTTAAAAGATACTTTCTCAAGCAAATCAGGACAGTCAATAATGTTGTTACTGATTTTGACAAGGAATGTAAAGTCCACTATCTCAAGTCGATCTATAGGCGGGAGGAGGTGAAACCATAGATATTAAATGAAACCTTTCCGTATATTTTCGATTCGATTTATGTAAACTAAATAGCACGGGTTCCATTTTTGGGACATATAATCTAAATGACTCCTGACATAGGTGCAGTAAAGAATTTTAAGAGTTTCGGCTTCTGTAAAGGTTTTGCCAACACGCATTATAAAACCAAGAGATTTAGATGTAATATATGTATGTGTAGATTGGAGAAATTGAGCCAAAGAAAATCTTACCATTAATAAATTATTGATTTTAATACGACGCTTTTTATTATTTTCACAATTTTAAAATTTAGTCTTCCCTATTTCTTCATCATCATCAACAGCTTTTACTAGTCCACTGTTGGACATGGGCCTCTCCTTAGAAAGGAGGTTTTGTTTTGTCGGTAAGTTTGTCCGCTTCAAAGGAAAAAAACACGAAGTTTCCCGAAAACAACAAATACAGCGACAGGCAAGCACTACGCTGAGTGCCTGTTTGTCCTCTGCGATACATCGGCGTTACTAACATGTCGCAGTTTTAGAAAAGTCTAGAACATCGTCAGAGACGCGGGTCCAATTCCAGGAATCGGCGATAAAATATTATAACGCAATTTCAATTCATGTAACTGGTAATTGAAGTAATTTAATTAAGAGTATTTGATGTGTGGACGTAGGTGATGTACAGTACTCCGACCTATCCGCAATAGTTAGATTGAATTACAGATATGGCACCCTGACCTTGACACATTTTTTATACTCCAAGCTAAGTTATAGGCTTTAACTTTCAAATACACTAATAATTTTCCTCTAAGTGCTCAGTTGGACTACCTAACTACTTAAGTGGAATCAAGTTAAGAAACTGTAGGGTACCTATTTAAAACTCCTTAATAATCAAATTATAAAATAATAAAACACCATTTTACATCATATAAAGCTATTTATTACATTAAATCTACTTAAATCACATTCCTAAAGTATGCATTTCAAAATTTAAGTTTACTAATGCACAAAGGAAGAAGCTATTTACAGATATTGTGTCAGATGTCCGAAAATATTTATTTATTAAGTATATATATTAATATACCAGTAGTAAATTTAGCCGAATGGTATTGTCAAACCACTAGTGGTACATTGAAAGAATAAGTATTATATTACCAGTGTTAAACAAATAATCCAAGTTAAACTTTCTAGTTTAAGTAACCAAGATGGCTATTACAACTTTCTTTAACAATGCATCTTTCATGAGACTCACAACGTCATTTTTTTTTAGATTTGCTGCAATAATTTAGATGGTATTAATTTTAATATAAGATTTAAAATAATAGGTTTTTCACTTTCAAAGAAAGGCTAAGGAGCATAAGTGTCAGCCTATAGAAATAGATTGCTTTGGCAACATTCAAACTAACACAACTGTGTTGCCAGTATTGTTTGAAACTGAAAACAATGAATACTAAATAACCATCATACTCTGTTTACATTTGTGTACTTGTTGACCGATCATGTTTGACCTTACGTAATAAATAATACAAATATAGATACAACATTTAATTGGGTATGAATAATTTACGTCTTGTAGTAAACTTTGATGAATATGTATAAATTATGTCTTCCTATTCGAACTAGCCTATTATTTATTAAACTGTCCTGACTAACCGACTAAGGTATGTATACACGTAGATATAAAATATAGGTACGGTAATTTGCCACTCAAACAGGAAGTCAACTGACTGAATGTCAATTAGTACTGTTGTCAGCTCTTGTTGCCGGACATGAGTAGAGAGAGCAATGCCGCCTTTTCCTTCTCCTTCTTACGCACAACATCCAGAGCGCGGTTTTTCCACGTACTCTTTCTTAGCTTGATAGGTCGGCTCCCTACGTAACGACCTAAAAATACATTCAAATTAATTACCACCAGTTTGAAGCAAAGGTAAAAAAATTCAAATGTGATAAATGATATTTATTTCTGTAAGTAAATCTTTTCAGATATTTTTACAAGGCGGACTTTACAGCTAGAAGGAGCCGGCATTTCCTAAGAGTAAATGTACTCTGGGAAGAAACGCCGAAACAAACCACAGGGGTCTTTTTTTTAGTCTGTAAACAAAATTAAATAAAACTGTGCGAGTACAGTATAGGGTCTGGGTAGGTCTTTTGAAGAAAGGACCATAGTTTTGAGTCGGCAACTACCGCCAGCAGGACATTCGGCTAGGCCGCGGAAACACTCGAAACCACCAGAAAGTTACTAAAATATGAATTAACATTACAAACCTACACTATACTCACATTTACATACTTACACATTGAACGAAAAATAAACAAATTGAACACAAACGAAATACACCAAAAAAATTAAATGTCCGTCACTCTCAAACATAACAACAAAGATAGGAATGTAAATCACTCCCACGAGTAAGCAGCATCAATCCCAAGCAGAGCCTTTTGGTCTAGTGGTTAGAGTTAAGTCAAAGGTTGTGGGTTCGATACCCATCCTGAACAAATAATAGTGTGATGAGCATGATGAAATATACAGGGTGTAAGGGACATCGTAACGAATACTGAAATAGTGTATTCAGACCATCATTCTGAGTCGAAAATCACTGGCATTTTCTGCTGGAAAATTAAACGTTTTGTGCAATCAGCTGTCAAAGGTTAAGGTATCCTCCTCCTCCTCCTCAGGTATCGCACAAAAGTAATAACTAAATTTGTATTCCGTGCAAATAGTCTACGCACACTAACACAAGTTGGCGACCAGGGGGAGGCCCCGCGCGCTTCGGCTAATTGATTGATTACATTGCAATTTTTAACTGTATTCAGTTTTTTTTTAATTATACTATTTCAGTATTTGTTACACCGTCCCTTACACCCTGTATGTCTATCAACAGTCTGGTTACCATAGTAACCGAGTCTGGCTCTGACTAGTTTTGGATTAGATAGCCGAGATGTGTGAAAAAAAATCTATGCTTTGAATTAGTGTATTAAAGTAATCTCACCATCCATTTCCTTCATAGCCTTGATAAAGTCTCCAGGATCTTTGAAGCTGACGAAACCGAAGCCCTTGCTTTTGTTTGTTCGTTTGTCTCTGATCACCTTCGCCCTTTGGAAGGAGGTGTACTTGCTAAATGTTCGCGTCTGTAAACCGAAGAAGAATGTTATTTATAACTTGTTAATGGTGCTAATTCTGTCATTCGAAAACTCTAAAAATTTGTTTAATTCTGTCAAACAACGTTTCCTATTCTGAAAACGTAATATTTGACAGGATAAAAGTTTTATTTATTTATTTTTAGTTTAGTTTAGAGAGTTTTCGAACAACAGAATTAACACCAATATCTATATTGTAGGAATAATATAGATTAGATCTAAACTATAGGTAGGTCCTTACCAACAATTCATCCGTCACATCATTGCCGAGATCACCACAGAACATGCGGAAATCATCGTCGGGCCAATCAAGAAGAGTCACGTCCTCCCAAACTTGACCACCTGCTGTTCTCACCACCTATAAAAGTGATACATTAAATAAGACATAACAAGTATCATAAAAATTGGGAAGTGTGCATTCGACAATGTTGTTCTCTATTATTTGTGTTTCGGTTACGCGATACCCAATTATACCTTATTTATTTATTAATAGATCCTTGACGGGCCTGTTGGTCTAGTGGTTGTGGTGACCTCAACATAGTGTTTTTTTTAAGGCTACTTATTATTACTTTTATTTCCAGCAGTGCACTATTAAAGAATCTTGATGATGACTAATCATAACGGATGTAGGACACATACCTTCCTGTTTTTTTTTTCCTTCTTAGGCTTGGTAACAACGTCAGGTGTGGACAGGACTGGAGGGGGAGGTGGTGTCGGCAACACTGGCTCCACGACCGGCTCTGGTCGAGGGGGAGGTGGAGGGGGCGGAGAGTGTTTCTGAAACAATACAGAACAAATTGTTATAATAATATCCTGGGATATATTACACAGCACACTATATACCCCAATTAAGCATGGCTTGTAGTACCTGTAGATTCTAAAACTTCTAAAAGTACATAAAAATGACGATAATTCCTGGTATTATGTATGACACTTTTTCCTTATGGTTTACAAATGACACTTAACTTCCAGAAAAATCCTAAAAATCCTTGAATCATTCTGAAAAATGAACGAATTATCCAGAAATGTTTAGGAATTATGCCAAATTAAATACTTATTAAATACTCATAATTGTTGTAACAATCAAATGACAACAGATGAAGAGTACATGAATCGAAAGATTCTACACATTATCATCCGAGTGTTACCCATACTTGATGAAAATTCCTTAATAAAATTTATAATATAATGTGCCAATATTTATAAATGTAAATAAAGCACTAGCAACTAATAAACATTTCAGGCGAGATTTGTAAAACATTTTTTTTTCTTCGAATGCTGTTGGAGGTGCGTGCTGGTGTTAATCACAAGGCCAAGTGCATAAAGTATATCCAATTGCCAAATATGTATATCAACATTTAATCTTACCCTTTTCCGGCTCTCTTTCTCCTTCTTTTCTTCATCTTCCTTTGGTTGTTTGTATAGCTTTGGAGCAGCTGATAATACTACAGGCTGTGGTTTGGGCGGTGGTGGCGGTATGAGCTGCGGACCTGGTAACCCTGGCCTCAAGTATGGCAGGCCTGGAGGAAATGGATCATTTGGGCCTCCTGGTCGCAGACGAACCTAAAATAGAATTGTTACCTTTGTTTCAATTCTTTTAGGGATTGTACCTACAAATTTTCGCGTTCTATCAGTATCAGTTTTAGGTAGGGAATTAACACTATAATATATATAGGAACTTTATAATTTGCAATTGCAAAAAATATGTTTGGAAAATTAAATATTTAGCAAATAAACTAATGATTACAGAATCACTACTTTTAGGATTCATCATTCTTATACTTTATAGTTTTATGTATGACATAAGAAATGAGCTCCTTTTAAAAAAAAGAAGACAACTCCCACATTAAGAATATACCATGTGAAGCAGGGGACTATACAAACATGCATAAAACAGCCAGAAAGAACACCCAGACTCAGAACAACAATTTGTGGATCACAACCCATGTGGACCCATCTGGGGATTGGACCCACATAGCGTACTAATGAACGGCGTGGCGACCGCCTCAACCACTATGCCATCCGTGCAGTCCAAATAGTCCTAATAAGACTGCTATTAGAAATATTTCTGAGCTCTCAAGATACAATAATACAAAGTTTGTCTGTAAGCTTAATTGATTACCAGGGAAGTTACATAGTAAGTTAATAGAATATCTGAAAAAAAAAAAAACAACCATCCCAAACTATTTCAAGTGGAGGTTAAGTCTAAACAAAAGACTTAATGACTGCTTTTTATTATTTCTTTAGGGTTGAAATCTACTTCAAAATCATTACAAAGCTCTAAAAATTTGAGTCTATATTGGGAATAAAAAAAAAAAAATAACTTGTGCATTACCTGTGAAGGCACCATTATTGATGGCGGTGGTGGGGGTGGAGGCACAGTTGGGTACATCATGCCAGCTGCCATAGCACTTTCGAACGAAGGCATCATAGGAGGCGCTGCTGCCCGCTCTAACTGCTGCTGCACAGCGCCGAATGTCGCAGCGCCAATAACAGCGCGGACAGGCCCAGTGACGAGGACGTCACCACCTGAGATCTCTGCCTCGAACCTGAGATTAAATGTTTTTTAAGGTTAACAATTTCTTCTATGTAATAAAATGTATATGCAACAATAATAGGGGGTTTTAATACGTTCACAGTTATCTGTCTATTAGTCTTGGGCTTAATCGGACATCTGCAGGTTCGCACCGTACTAGTACAATTCGTACAACGTACTAGCACACCGTAATAGTACTATTAGTACAGTTTTAGTAGAAGTAGAAAACTTAAGCGTTTGTATTGATATTACCAACATTAATGAAACGGAAGACATTAGTCTTTTTAATTAATGAAATTAATGAATGAATTAAATAAATTAAAATACGTAATTAAAAGGCTTTGTATTAGGCAGTTGCTTTTCTTCAGTATAGAAATAATTACACAGTTCTTGATTATTTTTAATGTGTTATCCCTTTCTGAATCCCATAAACCTTAACAGTTTGACTTTTAAATACGAAAAAAAAAAAAAAAGTGGAGCATTAATAGTACGTCGCACAGCGAACGAACGTAGACACTAGTAGACAGAGTAAACAATAGATAGTTTTAGTACTGGCTTGAAGTTGACACTGTGTACTAATAGTGCAAAATGTCCGATTAACAGCTGCCTTTCGGAAACGTTACTTTTAGTACAATACCCAGTACTAGTACCTATCAGTACATCGTACGTGTACTACCCAAGACTACTGTCTATTAAAAAAGATTAAATACAGTAAAGACAAAGAATAATAGTAGTAGAAACTGTGTAACAGAATTCTATCGAAAATTTTATAGTAAAAAACTAGAAGACAAAATAAATTATTGCTTTATTTCTTTTGTCTTCTTGACTATAAGACAAAGGAGACGAAGCAAATATACTAGAAGACAAAGGAGACAAAATTAAAGAAAAAAATACCACAGCAGAACCTATACCAGAAACTGAATTACTGACCAACATAAAAAAAAAAGCGGCCAAGTGCGAGTCAGACTCGCCCTTGAAAGGTTCCGTAGCAGCAAGTAACATAATATGAAAGGTAAATTGCGGTTTAAGATTTATGACGTATTAAAAAAAAACTGCTTACTAGATCTCGTTCACACCAATTTTCGGTGGAAGTTTGCATGGTAATGTACATCATATTTGGGGGGAGGGGGACCCACACACTCTTTACCACTTTGGAAGTGTCTCTCGCGCAAACTATTCAGTTTAGAAAAAAATGATATTAGAAACCTCAATATCATTATTGAAGACCTATCCATAGACACACGTATGGGTTCGATGAAAATTTTTTTTTGAGTTTCAGTTCTAAGTATGGGGAACCCCAAAATTTTTTGTTTTTGTCTATTTTTGTGTGAAAATGTTGATGCGGTTCACAGAATACATCGACTTACCAAGTTTCAACAGTATAGTTCTTATAGTTTCGGAAAAAAGTGGCTGTGACATACATACGGACGGACAGACAGACATTACGAATCCATAAGGGGTCCGTTTTTTGCCATTTGGACCTACGGAACCCTAAAAATCTAGAACAAATACCTTGACCTAGATGTCTAAACAAATAAAGCAATAAAAAGAAGTGAAAGGTTATACTCTCTGCAATAATTATTGAAGAGAATTTATACAGCCTTGGCCAAAAGTATTAGGCACCCCAGAAAAATGCACAATTCATGTTTACTGATTGAACAGTGAATAAATGCTTATTTTAGATGGCATGCCGTAGTCACAAATAACTTCCTAGAAAAGCAAGCAGCTATCTGTTATGGTCATAAAACACCTGGTGACTGAAATCAAAGGATTTGTTTTTATGCGTTCTTATCAGTCAATGTTTGGTCACTTGTATTCAGGACTCTAACGAGTAAACAAGCTTTTATTTCTAACATAGTGATTAAATTGACGCGTAATTTATTTAAAAATGCCGAAAAGAAGTGCAATCTGTTATCAAACGTTTTGCTGAGACTGGCAGTCACGCTAATAAACCAAGAACAGGCAGAAAACCTGTGACTTCGAAGCGCAAGGACAGAAAATTAATACGCGAATCTATGAAAGATCGGAAGAAAACATCATCAGAGCTTGCTGCTACTTTGTCCAAAGAGGCTGGAAAGCCAATAAGTGCTCGGACCACCAGAAGAAGACTTGGAGAAGCAGGCTTAAAAGGATGCAAAGCTAGGAAGAAGCCCTGGCTTTCAGAAGCTAACAAAAGAAAACGACTTGAATGGGCTCTACGGCATGAACATTTTACTGAGGAAGATTGGGCCAATGTGGTATGGTCTGACGAATCTAACTTTGAGGTAAGTAAATTTTACTGCTTTTGTTATTAATAATCATGGTCAGTTACTTATTTAACTAAAATAATAAAAGTTAAGGCAGTTCAAAAAAGATGTTTTTTTTTTTCAACAGATATTTGGAACGCCAGTTGTGACCTTCGTGAGGCGACGTGTGGGCGAAGAATACCATCCAGATTGCGTCGTACCGACAGTAAAGCATGGAGGAGGCAGCATAATGATCTGGGGCTGCATGGCTACTGATGGGGTTGGCTAAATGTTTGTTTGCGAAGGTCGTATGAACAGCCTAATACTTTTGGCCAAGGCTGTATATATAGAAGAACCAACTATAATTGGTGCACTTCTCCAACACACACTTATTCTATTATTTATTGTGAAAACAAAGGAATATAAATACAAAATAAACACATGAGCCAGTTGAGGCTATCAACATAGCTATGTTAACAAAAACAGCCACAGAAATAAAATATATGATAGGAACACTGGATACACATAGTAGAATAGCAAGCTTTAATATGAACCCAAATAAAAGAAAAATGATGGAAAGGGGCTTTTACTCAAGTATGGGTGTGTCATGAAAAGTAACAAACAACATAAGCAATAATATACTTAGATATTAACATTATCATCATCATATAAACACAAGCCTCTCCTTAGAAAGGAGGTTTTAACCTACTATACTGGCCAGACATGTTGGTATGGGGTTTCAAGTTTTTCTTCTCTTTGCAGTGCTGTTATCCTGCAAAGTTTGCTGACTTAATCGGCTTTTACAACACCTATGGGATGAATAGGGGTGCTGACACTCCGTATTTTAGTCCATCACCGCACAGACAATAGTGTGGATATTAACATACTACCAAACAGAGAAAGTTAGGTAATAGAAAGCTATTTTTAACCAACTTCAAAAAAAGAGGAGGCTCTCAATTCGTAGTAATCTTTTTTTTTACATTATGCATTTTATTATAATGGACCTGTTGGTCTAATTGTTAAATATCCTGACTGCGAAATCAGAGGTTGTGGGTTTGATCCAAACCCAAAACAAAATAATAAATGTATGATGAGCATGATTGTATGTTCTGTGTCTTGGTGTAATTTATCTATGCTATGTATGTATTTAGAAATATATAGGTATGATTATCAGCAGTCTGGTTACCATAGTACAGGTTTTTCCATAGTTTGGGATCAGACAGGTGTGTGAGATGTGTGAAGCTATTATTATTATTATTTCTTCAATTTTTTTGTCATCTAGCATTGAGTCCAAGTACCTTCTTTTTCTACCTACCTTATGTTATATTTAGGCTTCTTAGATAGTGTTTATATTCAAATTATTTACTCTTCTACCATTTAGTGTAAGTTTTCCAAATACATAGACTCCATTATTACTACTTTTAGTACACTTTCATCTAAGTAAAAGTAGGCCTTTTTAGTTTGTAGTTGCAATTTAGAAAGGGACCTGTCAGAAGATAAATTTATATGAAAAATATTACTACCGTAAATACTATTAGTTTTAGTTCGTTAGTTAGTTTAGTACAAATGAATTCTGTACTTCTCATGAATATATGTTTTAATACCACAAGGAATACTAATGTGATATTTTATTTCATGTGAACTATTAGGTGACCAAACATAATTAATGCACCAATTGCATAGTGTAGCACCAGTGTTGTGCATAGTCTGCACATATTCTAAAACATGAAAATTACACTTTGTTTAGAAATTCTAATACACAGAAAGGAAATCACGTACATGTATGATCCTCATAATTATTATAAAATACTAGCTGTACCCTGCCAAGCTTTGCTGTGGCACATTCATAAGTAATGAAGAACAAAACTATCTTTGAAGCGGTTTGTATATCGCGATAAAAGTTCAGCTCAATCAGTGCTGAACTTTTTAAGTTTTTAAAGCGTTTTACCATTTTCATGTAAATAAGATCAAAACAAGTTCTAACCTGGACATTTCATCCTGCATCTGCTGGTATTTCGTGGAGTCATCCATGACGCCGCTTGCTGCTTAACCTTAAAGAAGTCCAAAACGTTTACGTAGTAACTTGAAATAATTATAACCTCACTAATTATAACCACGTCTGATACATACAGAGTTTAACATTTTTGTGAATATTGTTACTTATGAAGTTTAAGCTGTGCCTCAGGGCAAAATCACCGCGTTCCGGCAAATCAAATAAATTAACAACGACCAAAGAGACAGACAACCGAAAAACCGCTCAGTGACAGTTGGCACTCTATGTAACTACAATTAGGTACTGTGACAGATTGATTGACTGATGAAGGTTTTTTTTTTTTTTTTGAATTTATTGACCTGGTAACAAAGACCTTTAAGTCAAGTCTTATTTTATTTGAACAAATATTGCACTTTCACTTTAGTTCATTTTAAATTGTTTTAATAGTGTTTTTAATATATTTATATATTGGTTTGTAAGTGTTTTTGTCTTTTAGTAACTGTTCTAGTGGCGGCGGGCGGGATGAAGTATTACACTTAATTTTCACATCACTGAGTTCACTAGCCAACACTGATCTGTCAAGCAAGAATTTTTGACAGTCAAAAATCAGATGTTCCATGGTTCCTTCTTGGGATTCGCAATATGGGCATGTA